GAGCATATTTTAAGAGTGTTAAATGGTATCGGAGAGAACTTGAAATTTCGCTATGATGAAATAACAAAATTTGTGTCTATTTCGGTATTGGATAAAAATATAACATCCGTAACATTATCACCCAAATTAAGTTTACAGCTAGGTTATGAACCAAATAAAAATCTCCTAGAGAGAAATTTTGGAAAGTGTCCTGCTAATTTACACTTAGGGTTACCATCTCAACTATTTCTATATTGCGACATTATCGATCCTCAGATTGTGGGTGATGTTATGACTCCTTTATTAAGAGTCATTTCATTAGATCCTACAAAATACATTTATGGTGCAAATAAAATGCACGTTTTCTCTCAACCTCACTACTTACCTGTTATGCGAAGAGAGTTCGATACGTTGGAAATAGTTATAAGATCGAGTACAGGACAAAAAATACCATTCCAGTTTGGAACCGTGTGTATTAAACTACATTTCCGAAAATTATAATAATGAATTCTCTTCGTGATCATCATAAATGTCCATATGAAAATTATTATACACATCAAGCTGGATCAGGAGTTGGAGTAATTTATAAGGGTTCACCATATCAACGCGGTCATGGTATTGGGAGCTTCTTAGGGGGGTTATTCAGATCAGTTTTACCTTTACTTTCAAGTGGTGCTCGAGTGATTGGTAAGGAGGCATTAAGCGCTGGAGTAGGACTTTTATCGGATATGGTTCAAGCCCGTCCTATGGAAGCCTCAATAAAAGATCGTCTAAAGCAAGTTAGTACGAATTTAAAACGAAAGGCTGATGAGAAAATTGATCAATTTAACATGACTGGATCTGGGTATAAAACTAAAAGAAAACGATTGACATCGTTCATTCCACCATTAACTGCTAAAGTGAAAGCTGCGAAAAAACTTTGTCTAAAACCAAAAAATATCAAAGATATATTTTCAAACTAAATATGTCCTTTCCTTCATAATCATTCTTGTGAGTGCGTTAAGTCAGAATTGGATTTGTTTGCACTACCGTCTACACAAACTAGCATTGAAAATGGATTGTGGATTCATTATAAACCAATTTCATCTCTTGATGATGATGGACCTATCGAGTTTCAAGTTCCTGGGACCGGCGATGACTACATAGATTTGTCTCATACATTACTCCACATAAAGGCAAAAGTATTAAATCAAGATTCAACTAACTTGGTATCTACTACAATAGTAGCACCTGTAAATAATTGGCTGCATTCACTTTTTAGTCAACTTGATGTTTATTTAAACCAAAAACTTGTATCACCACCTAATAATACCTATGCATATCGAGCATACATGGAAACCCTTTTAAACTATGCCCCTGCTGCTAAACAATCTCATCTTACTTGTAGTCTTTGGTATGAGGATACAGCAGGAAAAATGGATTCTACAGATGGTAAAAACATAGGATTTGTTAAAAGACAGGAATTGATTAGTGAAAGTAAGGAAATAGAAATGATTGGTCATCTTCACGGTGACATTTTTAACCAAGATAAATTTTTAATTAATGGTGTTGAAATGAGTGTTAAATTGGTTCGATCAAGAGAGAGTTTTAATTTAATTGTTGGGTCAAACGATGTAAAGTTTAAAGTTTGCATTACGGACGCAACTCTTATTGTTCGACGAGCACGAATTAATCAAAGTGTATTACTCGCACATCAAAAAGTTTTAGCTTCTGCAAATTTTACATAAGCACACTGACTAAACCACTGAACATGCTGCTGCCAAGGATCATCATCATCTTCCCAATCTTTTAAACCACCACCACAATGGAAACACTTGGTCCCGTCTGCATGGCCAGTATAAAAGAAACCAGCTTCTGCAAGATCTTCAGGTTTCTGTCGCATAACTAGAGGCCAGTTTTCGAAACTAAGCAAACGGCTAGATTTTGAACTGAAGAATGGATATTCAGCTCTTGAGTACTGCATACTCTTCTCGTTTTCTTCTCCACTCAGTGTTGTAGTTTTGTTATTCAATGATGTGTTTTGTACACGTATGCCACACTCATCTCTTCCTTCCGCTCTTGTCTTCCTGTAATTGAAGTAAACAGAATCACATTCACTAATGATCAGCTAATGACTGTCATTGTTAAAAAAGTATTTTTTAACTTTTTCACTTTCTGCTATTGTCTTTGTTATATTGTATACGAGGGCGTTTGTGTTGTCGTAGATGCTATCCTTATTAGTCTTTACGTAATATTTAATTCTCGTGGAAGCATGTTTCCAATGATCAGTAGTTGGAATCTTGGATAGCTTCTTCATATCGTACATTTCAATTTTGATGAGATGCGTCGCTTGGTCTCCGTCGTCAGAATTAGTAGAAATGTATGATACACCATCTCTAGCGGCTCGTGCTACGGTTGATGATAACAGCTTCCTCTTTTTTATTTTTGATTCAGCTTCAAAAAAAATGATCAATCGATCGCGATTTTCTTTTTCCACCATCGCATGTGTTATTATTAATGACGAGGTTATCACTCTCTTCTTGAGGGGAGAGTGGCGAGTAGTAATACTGTTTATAGGTATCTTCATCGAAGCTCAATGATTTCTGCAACAACACAGTTATCATGTTAATATCAATTTGTTAACACTTAATCATAAAAGTTAAAAAAGTTAAAGTTACAGCCTATTAAAGTCCACTGCTGAACATAGGCCTCCTCTCATTTCTGAGAGGGTTTTAGAGCAAGGAAATGTCCGCCGCGCTCCCTCAATGTGTGTTGGCGAACTTCACATGCCTTCGAAATTTTCTCAGACATGCAGGTTTCCTCACGATGTTTTCCTTCACCACCAAGCACGTGGTAATAAGCACTTAAAATTGCGATTAACAATTTAATTGGTGCTGGCGGGGATCGAACCCGGGTCGCGTACTGTGAAATTTACAGCTAGCGCTAACCATCTGAGTTACCACGGCTTAATCATATACATACACAATATTTAAATAAAATAATACACACACATGAAAATAACAGAAAAAAAGTAATTTAGTCAATAGAATAAACACTTACATCCATAGCCTTTGGTGTATTGAAGTAACACAAATGTACTATTGATAGATCCACTGTAGTCAAACGACCGTACACTAACTCGATGACTGCGTCTGTTGGTCTTATATACCACCAGTACGTAAAAATTCTAATCTAAAGTATTTCCGTAATGAGTTGATAATTACTTTATGCGTCAACCAGTTTATCTCACATTTCCGTTGTCTATCTCAACATTTCTTCGTATTGTGTTTTGTTTGGTGATCAATGACTCAAGTACGATTTGTATAACACAAAAATGCAATTTAATATTTAGAAATCACTATAATTGACCATTCCTATGTTATTCATTGAGTAGATTGGTACTGTAATAATGTACTAATAGCAGTAATATCATGGATACACTAGATGTACAACATCTGAAAAAGATTCACCCCAGTCTAGAAAATAATGTTTATGCAGCTAATAGACTGCCTATGTATACCCACGTACCAACGTATATAATATGTAATTTGGATACAGATGATAAACCAGGGTCACATTGGGTAGCTTTATATATCGATACGAATGACGTCGGTCAATATTTTGATTCATATGGACGATCACCTGTACGATATCATCTAGAGTTTTTAAAAAGGAATTGTAAAAGATGGAACTGGAATGTTGATAGGATTCAGAATGAGTGGACTTCAGTTTGTGGCGAATATTGCTTAATGTATTTGCTATATAAGTTTCAAGGATGTTCAATACATAGTTTTACGAGTATATTAACAAGGAACACATTGTACAACGATATTTTAGTGGATGAGATGTTTCGCTCCTATTTTATAGATAATAAGTAATAAGATTTTGTATTTTATAAATAAAAATTGTAACAAAATTATGTAATGTGTTTTATTGATGATTCAGATTAGCGTTGTATAATTAGGAACAAAGAAGTACAATACAATAGCACTGATATAGTCGACGCACACGCTGCAATGAAGGTGATTAATGAACAATAGAACAATAGAAATAGGAACAATGGGACGCTAATGACGGTGGAGGCCCTTACCGGATATCAATTAGATATTAGCTAATTGATCTACACATCTCCGGAACCGTGCATTCTACACAAAAATGGACCGCGGATTCGTGATCAGAGCATGCCAAAACCTTTTTTTTTTATTTAGGATCGGGTGTCGACGAACGTCGTTGAACCACGTCTGACTCAGGTGGTCTAGAAGTGGTACAACTACACTACTTTTAAATGACTTATAACTCTTAAGGTAATTAGTAGAATAAAGTGCCTCATACATAATGATTTATATATTTAAACCTAGGACACGATAGATAAATAAATCCTTGTAATATGAATGCTTTTTTTTTAATTCTTCATTTTATTGCGCGATATAAGAATCACTTAGTCGGTCTGCGCGGGAATTGAGAAATAGGTATTTGAAGAAGCTATTGCCGTCGCGGTATATATGGTCTCCCCCCGTAGAGTGCGATAGGGACAACTGCAGCTCAGAACGATTTTACCTATAAAAACCATGACCGATCGACGTTTCGTATTCCCCTGTTTTCTTCTCGAAAACTAAGCTAATTATATTATTTTTGGCATCAAAATTTAAAGGAAGAATAGATCTATGCTCCTGTCACGTGTTTTTATTTTAATAACTTCTTTGGTAGTCGTCGGAATACAATGGTAAAAACGGGGCATTTTATTAGGGTTTTGGAAACTCATATTTATTTTTGTAATAATTTCTTGGAAAAAAATAAATGACAGGGGCATTCAATAGACCTAGATTTTTATAAACAAAAGTGATTACTCTAGAGGCATTATCCATGAAGAGAATAGGGGAATACATTTGTATGGAAAAAATACAACACGTCTACGCTCTTAATATAGAATATAGAACATGACAATGGTGCATTCTAAACAAAGTTCATAGCAAGCAAATATTTGAAACGGTTCAAAATAACAGTCTACCTTCATTTCGAAGAATAAGTATAATAACACTCACCTAGCACGTTCCGGAAGCTGCTCCAATGAGGTCAATACGCCCGACAAATAACTAAGCATGTCCGTCACGAAAGCCGAAGCTTGTCCGGTGGGTTCCACTGCGAAAAAATATTTCACATATTTTATTTATAATTTTTAAACTCTTTCAACCCCTTGCTTCGGTGGTTTGGTAATGTAGAAAACATGAATGAGGAAAGAGTGACAAACCAAACCAAGACAAAACAAACAAATTTATATTGCAGAAGTGAACAGCAGAGGCGGCAACAGGCGCCGAGAGTAAAGTAGGCGAGAGCGATGTGTCAAGACCGCGCCGAAAGGAAGTCCGTAGTCTTTACCTACCCCCATGAGTAATGGACGTGAGTGTTTACGTATGTGTGTATGTAGACCCTTTCATTTTATTTTGTACATTCATAAGTCATGGTGATCTTGAGGTGGGCACTCGGTACGTTTAACAGCACGCGAGCAACCCAAATTCGATTCCTACCGGCATAAGAAAAACACCACGAAGGAATTTGTATGTTCGAGAAATTCACAAACACTCCAATGTCATGTGAAATTCATATTGCAGCACAGGTGACTTTTCTTTTCCATAACTCAGAAGAGAAAAAAGAACTATGCCGTAAAAAACACTCTTACCTAACAACCAATCATAATTCTCTAGGTCAAGGAACTCGTCGACCTTCTTCTCCAGGTTATTGCAGATTTGCTGTTCAGCGTCGTCGCGCGCCGATTGGAACATGCTTCCAGCTGCCTGCATAGGTACGATGTTTTATTTGTAAACTAAATTAAATGTATATTTGATATTAAATTACATGTACAGTCGCATACATATGGGAGCCATTTCCTAGAAATGTCTAAAAACAGTTATATTACAATAAGGTTAAAAGCTCCAAATCAATAATAATATGCCTACGATTAGTTGTGAAGGAACTACATTGCCAGTCAAGCCTATGTGCCTAGCGTTTTAAATATATAAGCAAATTATGAACATAATACCCACGTCCACTGTATACTCAATAAACAACTCAGTTGTTGCGCTGGGGGCCGCGGGTTCGAATCCCGCACGGAACAAGTATTTGTATGGCCTACAAATAATTGTTCCGGGTCTGGATGTTTGTCCTTGTGCAATTTATGTTTGTAAACTGCCTCCACGACACAGGAGAAAATCCTAGAGTGGGGTAACGTGGGGTAACGTTTTTAAAGAAAAAAAAACTGCTGCATAATCAGCACAATTTTGCAGCAGTTTTTTAGGGTGAGAAACGAGCACACAGTCCACCTGATGGTAAGTGCTTGCTGTGACACATACACATCTACATCTACCCTCACTAAAGAATCAAAATGCAGATGCGTTGTCACCTGTGAGGACCAAGATGGAATGCCTCTTTTCCAATAAAAAGGATCTCCGGTTCTTTACAGTCATCATACGAAACACAGTAATATTGCTATTTTACGCTGGTATTCGATGATAGAATGGTCCTTCCCCAGTCGAGCCGGTTCATTCGTACTGTACCACTAATATAGCTGCAGCATGACTTTACTATGTATAAAATTATTAGATAAAATAACTAAAGTTATTGAGTAACGACAACTTTTTTACTGGTAACGACACCAATTAAGTGAAATTTGTGCTTTCGCATTCATTTCATAGCATACATGTTATTCACACATTAATTGTATAAAAAAAATAGGCACCTGGGCTATTAAAAATATACAAAAATTACTCTTATAGAAATCTCGAATCGAGACCCACATATCGCTGCTGAAGTCCGGCCAACTCTGCATTATACACTACACTATAGTAAGGTCCATAACACTGTTCTCTAGATTTATTTTGCTAGTGGGATATCTCCCTTTTTCAGTTGACGGCTAAATAAACACTCAAAGAATTTTCACTAAACAATCAAAACTAACTGTACAACAGACTGGCTTTTACTTTTTCTTTAATTACCTCACTACATCAGTATATCAGTCCGGTACTTAGTCTCTCCTACAGTAACATGTCAAAAGATATATCTCTCCTATAGCAAAGAATAATTTGTCGTGAACGCCAAATTCGGAGGCGGAATTTCGTTCTCAGTACCAGACGATTGGTACATTGATTTTGTTTCCCTGTTTGATGAGCCTGCTTCTCGTCAATACCCTCGCATATTTAAAATCTGGTATAACTATAAAATGGTTACACAAGGTACTTGCCTCCACCTACTGTGAAGGCTTCTCTAATGCCACCACTACAAGGTACATTTGATAACATGCCGTATTAAAAAAAAAGAGTTTAATATATTCACTTACTTGGGTCGTGACGAGTTCGGAGCCAGTAATATTGCTTATGAATTCATAGAGAAACGACGTAGCGTCTTCCAAGTACTGCGTATCTACAATAATCTGAAATGGAATTTATTAATTTATTATAAAATTACATTTTCATTTTTGACCAAAATCATTTAACCGACAAAAAATGGAGTAACGACCTGCGGGATTAGGCAAGATGACATTCCAAGATCGTTTACTCTATAGAAAACTATAAGACTTTCACGTGACTCAATGTTTAGATATGTGATTCTCATTTGTTTTTAATTTTCTATAGCGTAACGATTATGGGCTTGGCCAAAATAACATTGTAAGATTGTTTACGCTATAGAATATAACGTCTAGTGTTTAATTGTATCAGTTAAAATTTTAGAGCATATTCTTTTAATCTCGTAACTGATGTGTGGGTGTGTGAGCTTGTGAGTGTGTTCGTGTACAGGTGTGTGCGTGTGTGTGTACCTGCACGAGCTGCATGAGCGGCAGCGGGCGGCGGAAGAGCGCGGAGAGGCAGCCGGTGAAGGAGCGGCTGAGCAGCAGCGAGGCCGAGTGCCGAGCCGCAGCCGCCCGCCGCCCGCCGCCCAGCCCCAGCCCTGCAGAGTACTTGAGCCACGCGTAGATGAACTCCTTCACCTGCACGTACACCGCCGGCACCATCGCCGAGAACGGGAACCTGCCGTAAGAGACCCAGTCCACGTACCGCGCACACGTCTAATGTTCGCACCGAAATCAACGAGCAGCACGTGGTATGGGTTAGACTACCGTCTCCAACCAAGTAACATTATATAAACACAGCTAACTGCAGGTCATAAACTTTGCGCAGTCTGTATTTAAAAAAATGTAAACTCAGTTACAGTCAGTGTAGTCAATTACAACTGTGTAGTTACGGTGTAAGAATATCCACTACCCTACTCTATATCGTCGCGTGGATGCCCGTAAGAGGCGATAAAGGGAAACTAAAACGGAAGATGCTGAACGGAAGATGGGCAACAGCATATTCCTGATAATAACTCAAAATAACAAAAAGACTGCGGTTGCTTAGCGTGGCAACCGTTGCCAAACCTCTTCTGTGAGGCAATCTCTGCGGGAGGCCTAACTTCAGCAGTGGACTTTTATAGGCTGTAATGGATGGGTTAAAACTCAGTTAACCTTAATCCAGACATTTTAATCATTAAATCATCATTATTACATCCCCTCACAAGTCCACAGCTGAACATAGGCGTCCCCCATGGAATGCCACCAAGTTCGGTTCTGAACGAACTGAATCTATCGACTTCCTGCATAACTTACCAGGTCGTCACTCTATCTAGTGAGGGGCCGCCTTACACTTCGCTTACCGGTAGAACGGTTCCACTCGAGAACTTTTCTTCCCCATTGGTGGTCGGTTCCTCGAACTATATGACCGGCCTCTGTTTACAATATGGGCACAGGATCGTAAATTCGCCTCAGAAGCTCCGGTATTATGTAAGAATAAACTGCGTATTTTGCCAAGCAGTAACTGCCCAAGCAGCATACAAGCTGTATACGAGCTGAATTGGAGTTCCTTTTTATACTACAGGCTGCATTTACTGGCTGTACAAAGGCTGTATAATCGCTTATACAGCTCTTATAAGTAAAAAATTGGCACAAATTATACAGCTTTATGCGTTAGTAGCGCTGTACAGTAGCTGTACAAGCACAAAAGGGACTGTATAATAGCTGTATTATAGCTATTATTTGTGTACAAGGAAACTATTAGACTACAAATACTATCTTATAAGTATCTTTTACAGATAAACGTTCTAAATTGGTGTTTGAACGGTATCACAAATGAAATTATGACAAAAATAACTTAATAGGTTAACTTTATTGAATGATGGCGACATTTATAGTGAGTTACACATTATATTACATATTAATATTACTTGGATTGGAGTTGAGTTTTGACGGTGATAACTGGTGAATAGAAAGTGCAAAATTAGATTTACGGTAAACTTGTATATGATTTCTATCAAAATTTTGCCGCGCCAGTAAAATAACGAAATAATATATAAGGACAAAATACTAAATATGGTAAGTAAATATTGATTTTATAGGTTAGAATAAGAAAATAATTAAATTAGTGAATATGAATGCATATTGGGGCAAGGTGATCATTAGTCAAACTAAAACTAATGGTTTAGGCTAAAACTAATGTCTCATATTGTTAAATTTACAATTTAAATTTTGTTTTTATAGGTCCTAAAATGGCGACAATTTGCTAAAGGATATTTCGAGGGTCTTATAGTCTTATTAGCTGTACTATGTATGTTATGGATTCTATTATACAGTCGTTAGTTTTTAATCAGCTGTATAATAGAATATTTTGATTACTAACGCTGTATAGTAGTTTTTAAAACATCACAGATAATTGTCTTTAGAGATATGTATAAAAGATGAAAAACCTTTGTCTTAGAAACAAGACTTTTATCCCTTCTTCACTTTATCTCATTTAAATAATAATATTTTAAGATTTAATCGTGTTTAAGTAATTTTGTTATTTTATTTTATGGAAAAGTGCTTACTTCTTTCACTTCTTTTAAGACAGAGACTATATAAAGCCACACAGACAAAATTAATAAATTGAAAAAATATTTTTTTTATTTTTGTACCAACCTAAAACCATCGATTTAATCGAAATGATTGTATTTATTGGCAATAAATTACTACCCCTTTGATTCAGTTAAATTCACAAACCAAACCAAAAATATGACTACCTTTATCAAATAAAGATTAGCTATAAATCTTTTCTTTCTAATGTTAAAAAGTGGAGTAAAGAATTAGAGCTATCTCTTTCTTTGCCAAACAATACTAAGGAAGGCACATTTTATGACAGAATGTTTTATCTCGCTCAGCAGTACGGTACCAGTACGAGCATGCTGTTTATTTTGTTATTGTGTTTAGTTGATAGGTAACTCCTGGCAAGCGCATACGCATATCGTTTTCTATTCATACTCTTACGTCACGTAGGTACGGCAAAACCAAAAGAGTTGGCTATTTTATTTGATGCATAATTTAACTTTTGTGAAGTAATTAGACTGTGTTGTGTATCTTATACTGGATTTATTTTACTTTTTAGGAAAATATGCCGTTTAAAATTTTGAAAACCATATCCGCCATTTTGTTTATTTTATCAAACAGTTATCTAAGAACACTTGGGTTTTTAAGACGAATAAAACGATACCTTAATTGTCGAAATCCATTCAGCCGTTTGGAAGATACGAGGTAATAAAGAAATTTACAAACATACAAGATACGCACGAAAAACACTTGGGTAACCCTTCCTTGGTAGTCGGGTAACAAAAATAATTACAACCACGAAATTATTATCTCTAACAGTGTAAAACTTACTTCCTAGGGAATGGCTGAGTCTCCAGTTCGTCCCCGTCATAAGGAAAAGTATCCATTACGCCGTCGTATTCTTCTTGGTTCTCTACCTATAAAGATATAACGGTCAGTATAGTCATCACTTGAAATCATAATGGATAATAATATGTTTAATACATATTAGAGTTGATAATTTCCCAATAAAGATGACAAAATTAATTCCTGGATGATCCATAAAAAATATCCATAAGAACCAGCGTGCAAAAATAATTGATAATTTAAAAATGGTCTTGTTTAATTTCCCTACCTCCGACTATCAATGTCTCCACTAAGCCCAACACTACATACCTCATCCAACTCAATCCCACCTAAATTTACCACAACCAAATCATTGTGAAGAGTTTTGTCCATACTCAATACGCTTGGCAGGCGAATTGATGATAACAGAACCCGAAGTCTCACACCTTTAACGCTGCTACCTATGTTCACGTCTGGAGTAAACAGAATGGTTATAATATTGCACTATATCGAAAGCCATAAGATCTTTTAGTATTTTGTATTGACAGCTCGTAAAATGTATTTGAATGGGGGTTAATAATCTTCCAGACGTTTCTAGTTGGAACTGAGGTGAAGTTATATTTTATACAATGTCAATATAATTGAGAAGTTAAGTTTTGATTAAAACTTTATTGGTGTCTAGAGTATGTAAATACCCAAAACAATGCCTTAGTGGCCTGCTCTTTAATTTTTTTTTGTACATTGTTTAACTTTCTTTTTAATTTTACTACTTTTAAAAATATCCGCAGTTTGATTTGTTCCTTACATTTTTCTAACAAATTAACTTCCTCGCCATAAAATCTGTCAAATCTTTCTCCTCATTACTAAGTGGCGACAGCCTGTTAGCAGAAAAGGTCGTGAACCTCATTGACATAAGTATCATCACAGTTTAAAGAGCATACAGTTGTGATACGAATGTACTTGTGCAGAACACGCAAAACCTATAACCATAATTTAAAGGAACTCGCAAAACCTATAACCATAATTTTTCGAACTTCTATTGAAACTGGTGTTTATCCTAGTAAGTGGAAAAAATCTTTACTAACTCCTATTCCCAAAAATAGCAGAAAAGATATAATTACTGAGTATAGACCGATTTCCAAATTATGTGTTTTGGGAAAGGTTCTTGAAAAAATTGTCACATCTTATATTTCGTTTTCAGTTCGTAATTACATATGCCAACAACAACACGGTTTCTTTAAGCACCGTAGTGTGGATACCAATATGGTAACTTTTACTGATTATTTGTCGAAGGCCATGGATAATAACTTACAAGTGGATGTTGTATACACAGATTTTTCCAAGGCTTTCGACAAATTAAATCACGATCTACTTATTGAGAAGCTTACAAGGGCTGGCATTCACGGCAACCTTCTCAGGTGGATCCAATCTTATATTAAAAATAGATTTCAAGCAGTTTGTGTAAAGGGATACTCTTCACAATTTCTACCCGTACCATCAGGTGTTCCTCAAGGATCACACTTGGGCCCTTTGCTGTTTTCTTTATATATTAATGATATAGGATTTGCACTAAAAAATAGTGATTACCTACTTTATGCCGACGACACAAAGTTATTCAGAGTTATCGAAACAGTTGATGACTGTGTAAAGCTGCAAAAAGACATAACTTCTCTATGTAATTATTGTGGAAATAACCAATTATATCTCAATATTGATAAATGCCATATTATATCATATACACGTAAAGTCAACAATATAATATTTGATTATAGCTTGAATGACAGCACTATCAAAAGAGTAGATAGTATTAGAGATCTGGGAATAATAATGGATTCAAAATTGTCATTCAATCTACACATTGATTATATGTTAGGCAATGCATTTCGTAGCTTGGGATTTATTCTTAGGATTAGCAAACCCTTTAATAAAACAATAACGCTAAAACTCTATACTTTTCCTTTGTTCGGTCAATCTTAGATTTTTGTAGTATTGTATGGAGTCCCTGTTATCATATACATAAGAATAGAATTGAAAGAGTACAAAATATATTCCTAAGGTCTCTTAACTATCGTAATAACATTACTAACGAATCATATGATGAATCTTTGCTTAGGTATAAATTGTTATCCCTTTGTAATAGACGAAAATTATTTGATGTAATGTTTCTATATAAAATTTTGAATAATTTAATTGACTCTTCTCTACTTCTCTCAAAGGTATCAGTTATTGCTCGTGCTCGTCTTCCAGTGCGATCCGCACGTAAAATGTCACTTTTTTTTCCTCCGCGGTTACATAAAAGATATACTCGTAACTCATTCTTATACCGTTCCACTGACTTATATAATAAACAATTTACTAATATCGACCTTTTTAACACATCTCTCAATACCTTAAAACAAACATTAAAAACCAATTTAAGTAAGGTTTGCAAGTGAGTTGCAATTTTTATTTTGATATGTTTATATACCTATATATTCTGTTAATGCTTCTGTACTTAGTCGTTTTGTTTTATGTAAATAATAGCTATGTAGTGTTACCATGTAACTTTCTTTTAAATTGTGTTTAACTTTTCGGCACTGTAGGTCAATTTTTAAGATAAGTTGTTTGTATTTTATTTTCTTTTGTATACGACTGTTTGTTGCCAAAATAAATAAATAAAAAAAAGAACAACGGCGGGGACCTTGTGGGGCAGGGGGCAGCGCGACCTTGTGCCAGCGCACTCCACTAAGTCTGCTGTACAATACATGCGGTTGGCGCGAGCGTGTTTTAAAATACTTATTTAACCAATTTTAAGTGCCGTTTTCGAAAAATATAATATTTATAATTGTGAATCACTGTTACAGTGGTATGAGTTACTAAGTAAAGTTGAATTTAAATTATGGCCATGCTTATATTTCCCTCATATTTTTTTTTGATAAAATTGTACATCGTATGCGAGTACACTACATAATTAAATTTAACAATCGAAAACTGAAAACATATATAAATTGAAAGTGTTACGAAAATATATTTGGCAGAGCAACACTTGTAAATGTATTTTTTTATTGTAGTAATAAAAACTGATCTTGTTCAATAAAATGTTTTTAACTTATAAGTATGTACATAATGTTAATAAACGATAACGAGTATAATAATATCCAACATTATTTTATTTCCAATTTCGTGAAAAGCCCTAACATATTTGTGCAGGGTGGCATAAACAGTAAAACTATTTATGCTTTTTAAACTGTGGTAGGTATCATTACTCAAACGAACACTGCTACTCCCTAAGGTTATTATTATAAAAACGTTACCCACTAGGACTTTCTTATGTATCGTGAAGCCTTACATAGTTTACATATATAAATTGCATAAGCACAAAAATCCAGAACAGGAACAATTATTTGTTGGCCATACAAATACTTGTTCCGTGCGGAATAACTGCTTGCGGCCCCCAGTGCCGCAACTCAATGCTAAGCTACTGCGCCACGGACCCTTCAAAACAAACGGAAGAATTTGATGTTATTGATGTGTAAGTTGTTTTGTTATTTTTACTGTGTATGTTTGTAATTACTTGTGAAAGTAAGGTACTATAGTTCATTCATAAATGATATCTCACCTCAATAGGTAAGAATGATGCGTTGTCCAAAATATCTCTGAATACGCCCACCCAACGTTGCATTAGAACCTCAGTGTAATGTTCGGCCATTTCTTGAAGCAAAAGCGGCAGTGGATCCGTTGGTAAACCGTAGCATCTATAATAAAGTAATGCTTATTGGACGCGCCAGTAACGTGGGTTTTTCGATAGATTTGTGGACTGTATTGGTATATACAACAAACGGAGCAAGGAAGATGGATGAGAGTGGAATGCACGCACTAACCTTGTGAGGGACTGCCTCGCCTTCCTCCCGGAGTATCAGCTAACACAGCAGGTCCACCACGTGGGTGGGCGTACGCACTTTTAGATCAGTTCTAGGACGTCACACACTCCTTAACTCTCGACTTAGTGTAATCGCGGAAGGCGCGTCACATTTTGCGAAATTACAAGGACACAATGTCCGGTGCGGTTGATAATAAAGCGGAGATCGAAGGACGCAATGTCCTTCGTGCGGTGTGCGGTCGCGGTTATTAATCGATCACAACTAATTGCCGTTGCGTGGTGCTTGCGTCGCCTTCAACGGCTATGCGTGCATATATGAAGGATTAGGGAAGGGAGGGGTTAAAGTTATGTAACAAGTATTCTATTAGATTTATAAAGTAAATTGTTAACTGGCGTTACCACTTATTAAAATAACAGTTTGTGGTCGAAATAAGAGAGCCCATCTCCCACTTCACGCCACGGCTGTCGTAACGGGAAATGGTCGAAAAATCTGCCAACTATAGATAAACCTTCAATCGATGATGATGTATATGTAGATGTCTATAGACCACAACAAACACTTGCCATCAAGTGGATTGTGTGTTTGTCACCCTAATCCTATAAAAAATCGATTGCCGTATAACCAAATCGGATCTATACAAGAATATAATTAACCAATAGCCTAACCATATAGTGGTTATGTAAGAATATCCACTACCCCATTTCGTCATGTGGATGTCGTAAAAAGCGACACAGAGAAACAAACCAGGATATAGATAGCGGCATCTTTCTAATAACAATTAAAAAAAACTGCAGTTATCAACTCGCCTGCCAAGCATGGCAGTCTGGCAATTTATGAAATGGTTATCTTTTTTTCATAGTATAAGGTGACAAACAAGCACACAGTCCATATGGCGGTAAGTAGATGCTGTGGCTCATAGACATCCACATTTATCCTCGATTAAGAATCAAAACGCGGAAGCATTGTCACTCCTAAGAACTAAGATGAAATTCCTCGTTTCCAGTAAAAAGGGTGCCCGGTTCTTTACACTCGTCATATGAAACACAGCAGCATTAAGCTGCCATTTTACGCTGGTATTCTGTGAGAGCGTGGTCCTACCCCGGTCGAGCCGACCTATTCATGCTACAACCATAATATAGCTGCAGCGTGACTCTACCACGTAAATATGAACTAAGAGTAACAAACGAGCACCCAGTTCACTTGCTGTTGAGTGGATACTGTGACCCATAGACATCTACATCTATCCTCGATTAAGGATCAAAATACAGATGCATTGCCTCTGAAGACTAAGATGGCAGTGAATATTTTTTACCTGAGACGAAGCATTTACGGTAAGGCAACCGGAGACCTATTGTAGGAGACTCACCATATGTAACAGAACAGAGTTATATTACATACGGATATTCTGTAAAAGCGTAGTCCATTCCCGGTCGAACCAAGCCTACTAAGCCTAATGCAGCATAATGTTCGGAGTTGTTTTTTTTTGGTAACAAGGCATTTTATTTCAGACCACAGGGGTTATGTGTATTTTCAACCGACTTCCTACCTCAGAACTTTTTTCTAGGTGAACCGATTTTGATTACCTATTCTAATTTGAAAGCTGGGGTTTTTCATGTGGTCCCATATAAATTTGATCAAGATCTGACCAGTAGTTTTTGAGTTATCCTTAATAATGCGTATTTAATTGACTTCGCCTACATTGATGACGTTCTCATTTTATTTATACTGAAGTCGGTTTTCACTATACCAGTCCTTCATATGTCCACTGGTGGAAATAGACCAGACATGGTTCACAGTATATCCATCGACTTCCTGTGATCCATCTAGTGAGAGGATAAGTGACAATGGAGAACAGCAATCACTAACCATCAGACTTACTTCTATAAAAAAAAGTACACTTCAGCGACCGCCATTTAACATTCAATTATTTCACAATATTTTTAACTTACTTGATAGTATTAATAAACAGCATAATCTGATGTTTAATGCTCAACATGAGAGTGGGATCCGTTATCAGTGATGTACTCGTTCTCAATGTGGAAGCAACCTTTGTGACCGACATGCTCCAAGTGTCCAGAAGCCAATCCTTTGACACCAAACCAGCGCCAGTCGTTAAAAGATGCTCTTCTAGGATAAAGAAACCTAAGACAGCGCTCAAGTAGCTCTTCATGCCCTGAATTGAATCGTGAAGGTTGCCCGTTTCGGGGATCAGGACGAGACGGGCTTGCTGTTTTCTCTGTGCTCTGTAAAAATATTATTTAATTAGAGCAATATGGGTATATTAGCGTTTTTGGGGAATCTTATCTTTAGATACCAAATTAATTTAGACACCGTACTGGTGATTGACAGACAAGGCTTTAATGACTGTCAGATATTGACATACCAGTCCAAATATGTCCAAATATTTCCAAATTAGACATTCGGCAGGTGATGAAAAGAAGCAATACCACTGCGAAGGTCATACCGGACACCAACCTGCCTCCTTATCAACCCACCCATACTCAAAGAATATACATTATAGGAAAAGCCTGTGATTGTGACGACTCTGACTTGTTGTGTTGACGACTATTTCATCATCATAATCATTACAGCCCTTCACAAGTCCACTGCTGAACATAGTTCTCCCGCCAAGCTACAAAGCACGGTCCTGAGCCACCTACATCCATCGAAGTCCTGCATGTCTTTCCAGGTCATCACTCCATCTATAATAGTGGGGGGTCACCCTATACTTTGCCTACCGGTACGAGTATTACGGTATGACTATTAATGGAAATCAAAATATAACCAATTCATATTAATTTTTATTATTTACGTGGTAGAGCCAAGCTGCAGCTATATCATTATGGTTGTAGCACGTGCTATACAGTAAGCAGAGGCCGGTCATATAGTTTGAGGAACCGACAACCAATGGTGAATTTACGTGGTAGAGTCATGCTGCAGCTATATTAATAGTATAGTTCTAGCACAAATGGGTCGGCTAGATCGCGGCTGGTGCAGCTTTTTACAAAATACCAGGGTGAAATAGCAGCTTAACGCTATTTCACGCATCGAAACAACTACCTACTACTAGTTATCAAAGATATAATATGCTATCACCTGTAATACTGAATAAAATCATTTTTCGCGCCAAGTACACTGTGTATGTGAAGGCACCTGTGCAGAGGACTAAAGTCCACCAACTCATGTGGACATTGTGCACCGCTGTTATCTTTTCCTGATATTCCTAACATCGAATCTGAAAACATTAAATTAGTTATTCGTTAAGTATTTCTCAGTAACAAATTAAAGTAACACGAAATCTCTATCAAATATTTTGTTACATACTCGTATATTTGGTACCTTTTTTATTTTTTACTATGTTGGCTAGACTTCGTCCGAGCATATCTTGAGTTTGCTTCAAAGCCATAGTCCCAACCTATAACAAGAGTAAAAATCAACAATCACAATTGGCTTCTTTATGGAACATGTAGTAGAGCCATTCTGCAGGTATATTATAGTTGTAGGTAGAATGGGTTGACTCGGCCGGGGAAGGACCACCCTCTCACAGAATACCAAAGTGAAATAGCAGCTTAATGTTATTGTGTTTCGTATGGTGAGTATAGACATACGGAGACCACTTTTACTGGAAACGAGGCATTCCATCTTAGCCCTCAAAGACGACAACGCGTCTGCGTATTGCTAGAGGGAAATGTAAACAAATTACAAATTATATATAGATATATCTATACATATAAACGAAATCGAACTGTCTGTTAATAATATCGAAATAACTGCCTTATATTACGCTGTGGAGGTGATTTGAAAGCCATTACGACATGAAAAACGATTTTAAAATTATGGTGTCTGTCTGGGCTGATCTTCGAAATGGCTATACCAATAATAATGAAACAGACAGCAGTAAAGGCGATCTAAGCTACACTTTATCGGAAAAAAATAAGAGTTTTTTTGAATTCGAATAATTGATAAGATAAATAAATAACAAACTTTATTTATTAAAAGTGATTGTAGCACATAGGTAAGACATTACATAGTTTGTACTATATAATGTTAAAAAGGTAAGGTGAATTCACTGTTTTTCTCGTTATTACAGTTGACGTGAAGCTTAAATATAACTAAAACTAGCTAGCAAACTTAGTTCTGCAGCATATGCTGTATAAAAATTAGATCCCTTACATGTGTTGAAACACCTAGATTAGTTTATTTTAGTTATTTCCATAGCATAATGTCATAATTATGGAATCTTGCTATGGGGTAATGCGACTCACATTGAAACTATCTTTGTTTTGCAAAAGACAGCCATAAGACCAATTTATAACCTAGGTCCAAAGGAATCCCTTAGAGAAAAATTTAAAGAAATAAATATATTAACTTTGGCCTCTCAATATAATTACGAGAACTTATTGTATGTACACAAAAACAAAAATAGTGATGTACATTCTGTAAATACCAGGAACAAGCACAAGTTAGTTATACCAGTTACTCGACTACAAAGGGTCAGTAATTCCTTCATGGGGCAATGTATACGCTTTTACAACAAAGTCCCAGAAAATATGCAGACCTTTTCTATCAAAAGGTTTAAATTATTTATTAAGCAAAAATAGTCTAGTAAGGGTTATTATACTACTAAAGAGTATATGACTGATAATAACCCTTGGGAATGAGGTGATCACTACCATGCTGTTTCTAAATGTTTTCATAATAATTTTATAAAATATTATATTGTAAATTGTGCTTTAAAAAAAAAGTCCCTCTGGATTTCTTGCTGGTTCTTCCCAGAACAGAGGTGTTTTTTGCGAACCAGTGGTAAAAGTAAAAAATGACTTTCAATAAGTATTATGTACCATAATCTATATTGAATAAAAATGATTATATGCTATTCTATTATATAAAATATGATTTTCAATCTAATGGATGTAGCTCTGCTCTCCTAGCTACGTTACAAAATAACTTGTGTTAAGGAGTAACAGTCTCGATCCCCATAATAGTAGGTATATAATAAGTAACATGCTTATGCGTGTGTTGTGTGTGTGTGTGTGTGTGTGTGTGTGTGTGTGTGTGTTTGCGTGGGTGTGTTTGTGTTACAGAGAGTAGGTAAGTCAGGTAAGCTATTTTACAATCGGTTTAAGTAGTTTTGTTTCGTGAAAGATTTGTTTTGAAGGTATGAGCGGAGTCTTCTTGCAGTTATAGAATGAAAACCGATATATAAGACATTGTTCGCTTTTTTTTTATTGTAAAGAAACTAACACAGGAAATGTATAAGAATCTTTTAGTAAATGCTGAGCGAATTTGTGGAAGAGAACAAATTTTGTCTTTTCGACGTTTACTTATTACCCTGTAAGGGGTTTTGCGGTTCTGCAAAAGAACTGTAAGTAGAATAAAATGTTGACGAACATTAAGGACGTCCTAGTCATTGTACAACTGATTAGTTGGAAATATGATTGGCGGGAAAGTAGCCACTTTCAAAATGGCTCTGCGTGACACCTCCGGCTTCTTAGTTAGTTTTTGCAGCACCACCCCAGCAGGAAATACAGTACGTAATTAGTAGGTTTTTATCTAAGACTATACCTAGGTATTTAATATGTTCAACAGAGGATATGGTTGGACATTGACAAGAGACCTGAGTATGTCTGTTGCAAGAGTGGGCTTTAAGGAATATTGGTAAATTTGGTTGGGAGACTAAACTAATTGAATAGGTAATGAATTTAGTTTTGGAAGCATTAAGTGTAAGCGTGTGGAAACAAAGCCAATTTGAAATAAGGTCGAAGGCCCAGCCTTGTGCTCAAGTACAGACAACGTTTCGGCGACGAATGTTATTGCAGTATCATATGCAAATGATATAATCTTTGCATTTGGAATATTAAGGTTGCATAGATCGTTGACAAACACTAAGAATAGAGTGAGACCTAATATGCTTTTGTTTGCGCCAAACGCTAAAATTTAAAATTACTATAACGGACATAACATGTCCGATCTCAGATCGGGCATGTTTTTGTCGTCAAGCGGCGGCCGGGCGGGGCATTGCTGTGAGTCTACTCGAGCCGCGTGCTTACCTCTGATCGTGTCGATTTTGTTAGCAAAAGACAATGCCCATCTGTGCCCCAGAAATGCCCAGATAAAGTATATTACAAGATTGCTCTAATAAATAAAAACTATAATTATGTTGTTAATTTTAAATCATATGAAGCACTGGATAAAAAATAAGAAAAAATAAGACGTTATTGTTGACATTGCAGTACGTATCATTTATCGTTTCAATCATTAATTCATGCTTTATTAATTACGGTCTGGAATCACGTCCTTTGGCCCATGTAAAACTCAACATGATTGATATTAGTTATAAAAGTGATTAATAAATAATCGAATAATAGTATACTGCTTTACAACTAAACCAAATAAAAATATGATTTTATAATAAACGTCATGAGATGAAAAAAACATGACCCAGTTAAACATTCATTTTTGTTATCAAAAGCCGGAGATAGACTAGTTTTTTACCAACGCCAATGACTATTTGTTTGTTCACCTATCCCTCATTGACAGTCTCTTAAATTATAAAATCTTAGGCTTTGTTTAGTTCGGGGCTAAATAATTGGCATGATAAATAAAATCTTCGAAAAAGGAATCATTTTTTGTTGGTCAATTGATCTAAATAATCGATATCAATATCGATTATTATTTTACATTTGAATCATCAACAAGTTAAATAAAGATCTAAATGATGTCTCCAGACACTCAAAAGTAAAAAAGAACTTTGTGGTAGTATATAAGTATTTCTAGGCTTCAAATAAACAAATATAATGAAAGCAAAAACCTAATGAAGTAATGGCTCAAAAGACTTAGCTCCAAGTCAAAAACATTCCAAAAAAACTAAAATGACTGTCACTCATTCTTTAACTGTATAAAAAACCAGTACGAAATTATCATGTTTAATGTCCAATATCTTTTGAATCGGTGCTTTATATGACATTAAATCTATATATCATATAAATACTGTTAAAAAGTTATCATATAACATAGAGCTGCAATTTGGGCATTGCATGGCATTGCTGACTTTCAGCTCCATACTAATATGGGCATGGTCCTTTATGCAACGACGAGGAATTGTGTAGTCTAGAACATTAGACGCCGGGTTGACTAATTGTTGGGAAGTTAATGTTTAATTGTACCGTCGCGTTAAGTGCCTAAAAAGGTCGCGTTCGGTTCTCGAAATAATTTGTTGCTGAGTGAACAGCAACAAATTATTTCGAGAACCGAACGCGACCTTTTTAGGCACTTAACGCGACGGTACAATAGGAAGTGAACTTTGACCCCCGTTCATCAGTCGTGCCGCGTGTTACGTTTTGATTATAATTAACGGGATTTAGTTGCGTTTTGAAGTTAGTTAAATGTACAATAAAGTTGATAAACTGACATAGTGAATTGAAGAAAGAAATTATCCATTTGTGCCGCCGCTGAAGAATACCACACCGGGGGGCGGTGCCGGAGTCAGGGTTGCTGCCGACTTCAACGGTCCAGTCAGGTCAACCATAATACACACCACTAAACACCACCTTACATGCACCTACACACCTACGGCCTGACCGAGCCTTGGGACAGTCTTCGCCTCAGAATCAGGTAAGTCGCATTAAGTAACTAGTCCATATATATATAAAATATCCATAGGCATTTGAGCCCCACACTTAGTTGTCCGTCGAATCTAACAGCTGTATGGGCCCCTGTATGCTAGACCTTAGTCTGGGCAACTAGGTGGGTGTACAACTTCCTTGTGGTACGCCGTAATAGATTGGGAGCTCATAAATGGTCTGTGATGATTATATTAAATATGACTAACGCTACATCAATAGATCCCACCCAGGCGAAGCCGAGGCGCGTTGCTAGTTTTAAAAATAATATAGTGTACCTGTGGACTAAGCTTGCGTATATTTTCCAAGAAATCTCTCAAGTCTGCCATTGAAGCATCCCGTATCGCTTGACGAAGCCGGGGTATGTCTGCTGAAATCTGCGCGCACCAATTGTAGGGACCTACGCGTGGAAGCAACACGTGTTCCAGTTGTTCTAGTGTTTTCAGGGCTGGATAGTACCTATAACAAGAGAATTCACCTTTTAAAGATACACTTGCAATGGGTGGCATGGGAGCATTTTATTTTTATTTATTTATGACGCCACACATTCGGGTTATAGCGATGTATGGCCACATATTCGTGAATACTTCGTCACTTGAAGCACATCGCTTCGCTGTCGGTAAACTCTCGCAAATCAAAGCGTTTCATCGCGATGAACTTCGCTTGTGCAGCCACACTTCAGGTGACCCACAGATATTGTGCGTAGCAGACGTGTAGAATTAAATTAGAATTTACGACGTATTTTCGACAGTAACAATTTTTTAAGTAATGAGAAGATAAATAATTTGATGAGACATTTTGAATAAATAATGCAGGCGTCCAAAGCTGTCCTCTGCTGTCAAAAACGTAGTAAAAAATTATTATTAAATGCCATAAAATATAGAGCGACCGCGGCGTCTATTTTGTGTTGTCTATGTTGTGTTGTGATAAACTATCGATAAACTTTACAACGCAGTGTGGCTAGACACCTTCGCCGTAGGCCGAAGGCAAAGTTTTATCGCCGGAATTCCATCACGATGTGGGTGGCCTAGGCATTACAAAAACAGTTACAGCATGATTACAGTTTAAGACCAATACAATGCTTTGACACAAAAAATTGATAGATATAACTATTTACATACGAGGGTGACACTGAAAGTTCTTAGAAAATCAAAAACTGAACAAACTAGCAAGTTATTAGTTTTATTATGTCTTTTCAAAATAGTGTCCATTTACATCAATACGCTGCATCTGATGGAACTACTGAGAAAAGCACTTTGCCCACTCGTCCTTAGGGGTCTCTTCGGGAGCATTTTGAAACGCAGCCACTGCTTCCTCGGCGTCCATAAAACATTTTCTTCGAAGTTTTTCTTTTATTTTGTGCGAGGCCGGGGCTATAATAGGGCGGGTGACCCAGGAATTCCACGTCTGACGTCGCCAAATAGTCGATTGTTTGCTTTGCGATGTGCGACGAGGCGTTGTCGTGGTGAAGGAGGATCCTACTGCGAAGTCGTTTCTCCCGAACTTTTTCCAAGAGAAGTGGCAAACAATTGTCAGTGTACCACTCTGCAGTAACTGTTTTTCGATCCTCTAAAACAATTGTTGCGTAATTACCTGCCCTCCCGTAGAACGAGGCCACCATCTTTTTTCCTACGCTTCGACCTCTCTTCACTTTAGTTGGCAACTCCTCGGAAGGAAACACCCAGACAGCAGACTGTCTCTTAGTTTCAGGATCATAACAATAAATCCAGCTTTCGTCACCCGTAAGTATGTCGAACACAGCATTTGAGTCACCTCCGTTAAATCTTTGAACCATTTCACGACACCAACCAACACGACGGAGTTTTTGGGCCTCTGTCAAATTATGAGGTATCCACCGGGTATAAAGCTTCCTGACCGCTAAATATTCATGGAAGATTTTGCGCACTTGACTCATACTGATGCTACCGATGCTCATGCCTAAGTTTTTTCGAATCTACTGATAAGTCACTCTTTTGTCAGTCTCTATCATACGCCGCTCAACACTGATGTTATCTTCGGTCGTCGCCGTAGAAGGTCGTCCCTTACGCAGATCATCGGTGAGATTAGTGTGACCACGTTTAAGCCCATTAAACCAGTTGTAAACAGTTGCACGAGATGGGGCTTCATCGTGAAAGGCCAATCGAAGTCTATCATAACTTTCTTGTTGCCTTAAATGACATCGAAAGTCATAAAAAATCATTGTACGAAAATTTTCTCGCTCGCCAGGCGTGTCAACTGTGGCAAAATCCCCGTATGATACAATGCATGGGGGAGACTTTTTTCAGCAGTGGAATTTTATAGGTTGTAACAGTAATATATTATCATCCCTTAAAAAGCACACGACTGAATTGCACTGACTGATGCAAGGAATAAACTTCCTCATTTTTATTATATATTATATTCTATAGTAGTGTTGTGTGATGTTCGTTTTGAATCGAATCGGAGATCGATTTTGCTTTAAGTGAAACAACATGCCTAGCATGCGGCTAACCGCGCCAAGTGCGTGGAAAGGATGCGGCGCCAGTGTTTCCACTTTTAGGGATTTTTCCCTTTTTTAGCGAAAACTAAGTGAAATTGTACATGACTAGGGATTATTTTAATAAGACAGGGATTTAGGGAAATTCGGGGAAATTTAGTATAATAAAAAAACCTATGATGGTAGCCCTGTTGTAGTATGTACAAACTCTATGGTGCCACCGCCCGCGGTTCATTTTTGAAAGGGGAATCCCCGTACTATTAATGAATGTAATCCGTCCAATTTTAATTTGTCTTTTAAAATATCAGTTCCGTTGTTTTAGATGTAGTCGGAACTTAGTCATATTATGTATACCTACCAAGGCTTGCTTGATTTGATTAGTTTTGTTTCATTTACATACTGCACTCCGAATTGCGCCTCGGAATACGAAAAATATTGAATTTTTCTATTGGATTGAATTGTAAGTAATTTAAAATGGAAGAAGATAATGAAACACCATCCTCTTCAACTTTAATTTCAGCAAGTAAAGAAAGAAAATACGTGCAAAGACATTTATTGGAATAAGGAACTAAGCATGAAAGATCATCATGGTGATTTCATTTACTAAAATCTTGAAGTAGTTATTTCATTTTTACTAGCAGTTCCATCATTAAAAAATGAGGTAGAAAGATTATTTAGTATTCTAAAAAATGTAAAAACAGATAAAAGACTTTCTAACGAAACTCTGAACGGCTTGCTTCATACAAAGTTCGGAATGCAAGCAAACAATTGCTCAATTTTAAAACCCAACAGTGCCATGATAACTACAGCAAAACATTACAAAAGTAATGCTTCAGCTTCCTAAATCTTCTGTCTGATCTGGTTTTTGGTGATTGATCTTTTGTTGATTTATTAATATGTATTCAAAATAATAAATTATTGTTTAATTTCTCGAATAAAAATATGCTCCTTAAAAATAAGAATTTTTAAGATCGTTTAGGGAATTTTAGGGATAAATCCTAAAAAAAATAGGGACATACCAAAATTGTAAGTGGAAACTCTGTGCGGCGCGCCGCATCATTCAACCGGTGCGGCCCGCCGCAACCACAAGACAACCGGAGCGGTTGACGGCTGGCCATAAGACAGTGAATCGATTTCATGCGGTTTCTTATAAAAATCAAAGTGCGGCCTACCGCATCACGGCCTGCAGTTGGTGCATTGTTGCGCTAATATATCACTACAATTATTAAATAATATATACTGCATTAGCGACAAGCAATTTATAGAGTTGTTAGCATAATGATTTCTTATATTTATACGAACACTACACATTGAATAAAACTAAACGTACTTTTTCGAATTTTATCGCGTTTAATTTACTTAATAACCCATGATCAAAAATATGTTGTATACATAATGATTTTTCTGACTAAGAAGTTTTCTATATTCTTACCTTTTAGCATCCACTTGTGTCTTTAATTTAGAATATGTGGTTAGGAGTGGCAGACAGAGTTCCATCTTTTCAATTGTTGCTGCTATGTTCAGTTCTACTCGGCGAGCTCGTATTAGCTCTTCCGCTCTCGAACAAAGACCTTAAAACAGTGTTTATAAAAATGAAATGACATGATTTATAAGAAAAAATGCAATAATTTGTGCCAGAACCAGTGTCTCAAAAAATTTGAAATGACAGTTATGCAACATTTCAATAATTTTCGTGTGTTAGGCTAATTAAGGAATACTTATACTTTACTTATTTTTACTTTTTAAAAAAATATATTAGTATTGGCTATTAAACATTACTAATATTATTTAACCACTTCTGGTAAGCTTAAAATGCTTGTGTTAGAAGTGGTTCACGACAGTAGTCGAATGGCGGATTCGAACCCACGATCTTTCGAGTTCAAATAGAATATCTCGTCTGCCATTAGGCTGATGACGCTTCAAATAGAATAGAGATCATATTTCTTTTAATATAGAAGATTACGGGTTTACAGAGCAACTACTTACCATGAGATGTGGCAGCAAATTTTTTAATTTTTATCTAGTTTTATATGGAATAAGCTGTTAAAAGTTAAGAAATAAAGTAACTAATTTATTTTTTGTACCGGCAAGATAAAGAGGCTTATAGCTTAAAACCTATTACCTTTACAACACAACAGATTCACTATTAAAATAAATGGTGCTTAAAAAATAATGGTCGCTTTTACCGGCGATTTTTCCGAACCGCAAACGACTTAGGGACCTTCAAGAAAAGAGCCTACTCCTTTTTAAAAGGCCGGCAACACACCTGTAATACCCTTGGTGTTGCAGTTGTTCATGGGCGGCGGTAGTCACTTACCATCAGGTGAGCCGTATGCTCGTTTACCCCCTCTCCTATAAAAAAAACTACACTTTTACTGCATTCTTGGTAGCACTACGTTTTTGCCCTGGAGTCTGGGTGGGTACCACCGTCTCACCTGTTCCTGCTGCCATACAGCAATGCGTGCTCTACTGTGTTCTGATCTCAAGTGTGCAGAGAGACAATACAGGCTGTGAGGCATTCCATTTTGGTTTGCAGAAGTGACAATACATCTGTAATCATCTTTGTTTGAAGTTGGCTGCAGGTGTCCATGGGTTGCAGAAGCCACTTACCATCAGGTCGACTGTAAATTTACAGTTTGTTTGTCATTTAAGATTTTTAAATTAAAAAAATTTAAACAAATAAGTACATATTCTATTGATATTATTTAATAATAAAAAATGAATAAATTCACACTTACTTTCCGTTGTCTCTTTAACATTAGAATCAACATTAGATATTTCTGCATGCAATTCCTCGGCATGAGACCTAACTTGTAACAACTCCCGAATTGAATCTATAAAACCCTGTAAATAGAGTCAAGTTATTAAATATTCATTATATTTTAATCATATAAAACGGGAGCTTTGTATGTTGCCAGCAATGACTCACTGTATTATCCATCATTGCCATCCATTATTAGGTATCTTAAAATCACCTCATCTAATTTTAATTCACTTTGTTATAAAAATTATTATAATTATATCCACAGCAGAACAACTTCAACAAATAAAATTAACAGTAAGCTGAATAAGCCAACTATCTTAAAGAAAAATAATAAATATCTCAAAAAACCAACAAGTTATTTGAAAGAAAGGCTCTCAAGTAGCACCTCTGTACTACCTACGCCATGCAATGTGCGTGGTGACCTAATAAGTTGTGCATATTGCTCATACTTGAACTCATCAAATTTATCTTGCTTGTGTGAAAAATTACCTGCCTATTGGACATTCATCTAGATTTGATCAATAAATAACAAGAATATATGTAGATATATGTCACCAACAAAAGTAATCTTACCTGATAATAAAAATTGCACAACTTCTCTATTTCCTTGTCATGCTGTTTGATTCTTTCATCTAGTTGCTGAACAAATGCTTCATGTCCACCTTCTCCTTCGTAGACTGATCGGAATGCTGGGCCCCAGTAGTCATCTATACCCTCAATCTCCTGTGTAATTGAAAATAATAAACCAGTATCAATTTCTATTCTGTAATGCTTTGTTTTTTTCTTCTAGTCAAAGGCCTTTCCAAGAATGTATGAGCTGGCATGTACCACTTGGAAGCTTTGGCCACCAAGCTTTCTACCAAGCTGAGTAGTTAGTTTGGTGAGTGCATAATCAATAATTTTGTACAGTTAATACTATTCTCAGTCACCAATATGTGTAGTTTTTTTTTGTCTAAGAATCTGTCTGGGTAGGTACCATTTTCTATTTGTCATGAAGCTACAGTGCGTACACTGCTGTGTGACTACTTCTGCAGCATAAATTTATTTTGTCACTCTTTCTTCATTCATTCTTTCTACATGTTCAAAACACCGAAGCATTCCTTTTTGAATCCTGGTCATAACATTTTCTTGAAAAAGACTCTTAGCTCTTCTATCACACAAATTCTCACCCAATGATTCGAGTCACCCCTAACATATGCCTTAATGACCACATTTCTACAACATTAATTCTACTCTCATACTTCTTTTGCCACACCCAATATTCACTATCATACATAAAGGTAAGGACTAACAAAATCAACACATTGTGAATACATGCCTTTTTTGACACATTCAGACAATACATGAAGAAGAATATCCTATATCCATATTCCACAATAGAATGAAGAAATCCATTTGCTCTGTTGTCTGCATTCGCTCTTCATTCTATATACTTCACATGTCTACCAAACTCTCCATTTATTGTTATTTCATGTATTGTTTTACTTTCTCCTTTTCTTCAAAACCATTACTTTTGTTTGCTTTCACTTTTATTCCCCTATCTTTTAATGACATATTATATAATGTAACTATCGTTTGCACTCACCCCTGATCAATTAAGTTTAATGTTTTATTCAATCTGTAGTGTTTGTGTAAATATAAAAAATCATTATCTTAACCCACTCTCTTCGACTTTCACAATTTCAAACAACTATCGATAGATTGAACAATCAAGGGGAAGACACACAGCATTGTCTGGCACCTTTATGGATGCCTACATAGTCTGTGTAGACCCTGTTGACCTTGACACAGGCACTGGAGTCTCTATACAGAGATTTTAATGCCTACATTAGCTCTGCACTCACATTTGTCAGTGTCAGCCAGCGTTTACTATAAAGCAACCTTGTCCACTCATGTCATAATCCTTTCTGAACTCTACAAATCTAGGAAATCTTCTGATTATTGGCCAAAAACTTCTGTGATCATGTGTCTAGAAAAAACCCATATACCCCATTCCTGCTCTAAATAAATTAAATTTACACTACACATTCCAAATTTTTTCATCAGTTTCCATCATTACCTTCTCAATCAACAGTTCATCATACAGTTTTCCGACAATGCTAAGCAAGCTGATTCCACAGTAGTTTTTACATTCCTGTTATCTATTCCCTTAGTGGGACTGTAATAATGTTGCGCCAGTCACCCTGTACTTTCTTTAGTAACATAAAGTTTACTTTCTTTCTATTGGGAAGTAGGCTCGCCACCACTCCCTCACCAGTCCTCAACATTTGTAATGATATCTTATCATACCTAGCTGTCTTAGTGGATTTCATGCTTTTCATTGCTCTTATTATTTCATCCATACTTATCTCGCTACCTCATTTTATTTATGATATTGTGGTTACTTAAAATGCCTCCTCACAGAAGAAAAAAATTAACAGCTTCAGCCAATTGTAAAATTAGCAATGTTCTCTTTAGCATTGCTTCTTTGCTTTGTATTTCATCCATTCCTCATATCATAATATATTATTATTATTCGTGGCGTTTTTTCTCTTACTTATATCACACATATTGATTGCTGCATTGACCATGCCTCCCCTAACTTTTCCCTGACAGTCTCCAAATCAAAATCTTTCATAAACCATTCTATCACTTCACTTTCACACCTTCATTTATAACTTAGCTTATTCTTATATGCTGTAATATAGTAGTAGCTACAGATGTCCAATGTGGCTAACATCTGAACAGAGTCTATAACTGATATAAGACCAAGTAATGATGGTATGTGGGAACCTTAGTAAACCCATATAATATCAACCACCATTGTGTTCCTCATTTGTCCATCCACAATTATAAAATCTATCATACTTCTATCTTTTCCTCTTTCCCATGTTTACATATTATGAAACTTCTTATGATGAAAAAAATATTCCCTAAAAATTTCTTTCCAAACATCCTACTAGGAGAACACTATCACAAAAGAACTTTTTGCATAAAATATTAAATTTTGTTTGAAAGAACTCCTAATTTATTTTTCTTTAATAGTCATGTCAAACATATAACTATTAGTGGCTTCATAACGAGAGGCTCAATATAAAGATTTTAATTGCCAACTGATACAACAATTCAACCAACACATCCTCTCCCTCCCGCCCCTTCCGTTACCATGGGTGCTCCGTTGCAAAGCACTCATTCCGAGTGATAGTTGATAATTAAAACTAAAATTTAAATTTCGCGTAAATATATGAAATGTTAAATATATTTAGTTACTATTCCAAGTTAATAACTTGATAAGTAAAAAAATGTGTACTCAAGTAAATAGTAGGCGTATATTAACAATTAGTAAGTACCTGAATGGTTGCGTTAGTCATGATAAGTTTCGTCTATCAGAAATAAAATAAACAAGCCCTATAGCCCTATACTACAACTTTACTAGAATACACAAGTAAAAAAATAATAGGTAGGAGTGTTTATTTAAATTCAAGTGACACTGACAGGTCTGGCTCTGGCAGCTGGCAGAGGCACAAAATACCATAGACGTAGGATAAAATACTTTACTCCCATAGACTTTGTCTTTGTCAATCCTCTATCTACGTTTACTCCTAGCGGAGAACGAACCATAGAGAAGTAGTATATATATATATATATATATAATATATTTTACTTGGATGCTTATCCTTTAAGCCATGACTAGTTTGATATCAAGTGGTAATAATCCTTTATAGTACACTGCTTCACAATATGTTAATGTGGCACATTGCGCAGCTTTTGGGGAGGCTTAGCTTTCCATTGACGTCAGTGGAGTTTGGTGTTGATACGTATTTTTACAGAAAGATTACACTATTATAAGCACACACACAAAGTCTCAATATACGGAAACGCGTAATTTTTGAGAAAAGAATAATTGAAAATCAATTATTCTTGCAATGTTTATGTCTAATCTGCTAATAAACTGGCGCCATTTTGTAATGTCATTGTCGACGTCAATAGGGATGTCGATTCTTTCCGAAAAAGGTCGATTTTTAAATCGATTCAAATCGTAAGCTGATCTAAAATATCTATATTTTTTTAATGTTTTTATTTATAATGTAAATATAAACCCATTTTATGAAAAACAAGAAAGATACCATGATAAATGATCTCTTATTGAAATTTGTTTTATTTAACAGTACCTATTAGGGCAGATAACAAATAAAATAGGTTAGGTTCAACTTATGTCAAAGAACCGAATTGATTGACCCCGACTCCACCTGGTACGAGTCTGTCCTACCCCTAGAGTGGTTTTATAGAGCCGGAGGCGCGTAGGGGGAGCAGGCTCCGCCTGCTGTAACAAATCGTAGGCATTGGACGAGCCGAAGCGGCTGAGGCTGGTCGCCCAAGGCGACCAACAAGCCGAAGCTGCGGAGGCGAGGAGGGATGCCTGCGATTTGTTACGCTAAGGCGTAGAGGTTGCTCTTCCCACAGCGCCGGAGACGTAGCAGTCTCAAAATAGATACAGAAATCCTTATGAATCAGTCCCCTTATTTTTTTATGATGAAGGGGATTTTTTCTCATAAAATGGATTTATATTTACATTATAAATGCAAACATGAAAAAAATATCGACATTTTAGAAATCGATTTTTTGGGAATCGATACATCAGCTTACAATTCGAATCTATTTAAAAAATCAATCTTTTTCGGAAAGAATCGACATTCCTATTGACGTCGACAATGACATTACAAAATGGCGCCAGTTTATTAGCAGATTAGACATAAACATTGCAAGAATAATTGATTTTCAATTATTCTTTTCTCAAAAATTACGCGTTTCCGTATATTGAGACTTTGTGTGTGTGCTTATAATAGTGTAATCTTTCTGTAAAAATACGTATCAACACCAAACTCCACTGACGTCAATGGAAAGTCGTACCTTTGGGGGACTTAGACGGCAAATTGTGCCAGCAGACAATTGGTGATAGCATCTGAAGGCCTTATACCTTATCTTGAGATTCACAGCAGTTGTTTCACAGTTTCCACTAATAGAACAGTCCAATAATAGTGCAGACATTTAATACACAAAATCGCGTCACGTTTACATATCAAAATTCACTTCCAGTCATTATATAAATAATTTAAAAGTTTGTGCAACTGACTTCGATAAAAATTATTAATAATTACTCATAAACTATTAGTCAGACCTTGATCAAATTTTAGAACCACGTAAGCAGCGCCAGCTTTCAAATAAAAAATGAATCATCAAAATCGGTTTACCCAGAAAAAAATTATGAGGTAACACATATAAAAAAATATACAGTCAAATTGAGTACCGTCTCCTTTTTGAAGTCGATAGACAATAATGCAGGAGCAGCAATCCTCCACCGGTCAAGATCCCGACAAAACTTGACTTGGACAAAGTATCATACTTGTCGTAAACTTCTTACAGTTACTCTAAGTCAAAGAACACATTTGAAATAGTCTCTTAGTAGAGAGTAATAGTGTTCTGTTGTGGTACTAATTTATCTGTTCATTGTAACAGGCATCTCAACCACAGACATATAATAGAGTAGCAGACCAAACATTAATCCATAGTTATATCTATAGAGATGGGCATGATTATTTATCCTTTTTTTGCTAAGCGACAAGTCGTAAACAGTTTCTCGTTCTGTCACCTGTAGGCACACTGACACATACATAGACAAAATTTGACGCATAGCTTGTCCATCCTGCGCCGCCATCAATAAGCAACAATAAGCAACATCTGCAACATAACCTGGGCCAGGGCCGAACTAGAGCCGGCGGCTGGTATTATTTAACTATACTGAAACAAAAGATATCGATATTTTCTGGGTATAAGAAGTATAGATTACTTATCAATAAAGTCTTAATGAATAGAGCAACCCATCTATTCCCGTGGTTATAGTAAAAGGCGACTAAAGGAGTATTTTAAGTGGACGATGGACAGCAGTCAACTCTCCTCCTTTTGACGTTTTTTTTTTCTTAATTTTGGCATTTCATAGTTGACCCTGAGAGGTCGTGATTACTTAACCGGACTATCCTGCTGCTTCCTTAAGGTAAAAGCGCCAGGGTAGCACGTGAAATTCAAATTTTCTTATGTATTATGCAAATTACAGGTACGAGGGCGGCACTGAAAATTTAGGGAATCAAGGAAGTGACACAACATTACTATTTAAAAATGTATTTATTGCTTTTCGAAGTATTATCCGCGAAGTTAGAAAATTTTTGAGCTCTTCTGATAAAAAAGTCGTACCTCGATCTGAATGTACGTATAATGGAAATCCGAAAGTGTGAAAAAGATCTTTCAAACATCTTTTTCTTACGTGGTAGAGCCACGCGGCAGCTTTTGCTGTCGCACGGATGGGCCGGCTCGAACCGGGGTAGTACCACGACCTCACAAAAAACCAGCGTGAAGTAGAGGTTTACCTCTGCGTTTCGCTTGGTGAGTGCAGGTGGCCGGAGGCCCTTTTTACTGGAAATGAGGCATTCCATCTTAGTCCTCACGGGTGACAACGCATCTACATTTTGATTTGTAACAGAGGATAGATGTAGATGTCTATGGGCCGCAGCAGCCACTTACCATCAGGTGGACTGTGTGCTCGTTTGTCACCCTTATCTTATAAAAAAAAAATCGTATCACTGTAGCCGCCGATAAATTACTGCAGGGATACGCAAACGGAAACCTCGAGTACTCGTCTATAATTGTCAGTAGGTATCGGTTTTGAGTATTCGATGGGAGTGGGCCTTTAAAATCGATATTTATTCTCTCGAATGGAGCAATAGCTTTTATCAACTGGCCTTTTGATTGACAGAACCGTGGTTTTATCTCAGCACATACTTTACAAGATGCTGTCATTAATCTTATTTCTACAACAGAATATGGAAGATTCTTTGATCTTATCCAGTGTACCATTCTGGTAACACCGGGATGACACAGCTGGTCATGTAGTTCATACAGCTTATTCGGATTCATGAGAGCGCATACTCTTTTTTTTTTTTTTTATAGGAGAGGGGGCAAACGGGCATGCGGCTCACCTGATGGTAAGTGACTACCGCCGCCCATGAACAACCGCAACACCAGGGGAATTGCAGATGCGTTGCCGGCCTTTTAAAAAGGAGTAGGCTCTTTTCTTGAAGGTCCCTAAGTCGTATCGGTCCGGAAAAATCCCTGGTGGTAAACTATTCCACAAGGAAGTTGTGCGAGGAAGAAAACATCTTCTAAATCGCACAGTGGTGGACCGCCAATCATCCAGATGGTGTGGATGGTATCAGGAGTTCTGCCGCGATGTGCGTTCGTGAAATTTGGCGGCTGGGATTAATCCGAACAATTCCTCAGAGCACTCCCCATGGTAGATGCGAAAGAAAATGCAAAGAGATGCAACATCTCTTCGCAGTGCCAATGAATCGAGCCGATCGGAAAGGGCTCGGTCGTCGACGATTCGAGCCGCTCTGCGCTGGATGCGGTCAAGTGGAAGGAGCTGGCACTGGAGAGCCCCTGCCCAGAGATGGGAACAGTATTCCATGTGAGGCCGAACCTGCGCCTTGTAAAGTTGCAGGCGGTGTGCCGGCATGAAATACTGTCCCGCTCTGCTGAGCACGCCAAGCTTTTTAGAGGCCAATTTGGCCTTCTCTGCCAAGTGACCACGAAACTGCACGTCACTCGATATGTCGACTCCGAGGATACCGATACTGGCTGAGGCAAGAAGGGTGCCTTGAAACTGAGGAGATACGACAAAGGGGTTCTTTTTAGCGGTAAACGCGCAAACTTGTGTCTTCTGAGGATTAAACTGGACTAGATTTAGTCGCCCCCAATCCGAGACTTTGTCCAGCAAAGACTCGACTTCAGACACAAGTTTGTTCCGGTACTCGGCGACGTTTTCCCGAGAAATATTGGCCCGGCCGGTGTATAGAGCATCACCAGTGCTGTCATCCGCATAGCAATGAATGTTACCAGTTAGCAACATATCATTGATATGCAGAAGAAACAGCGTTGGTGATAGCACACAGCCTTGTGGAACACCAGCGTTAATAGGCTTGTAGTCAGAACATGCACCGTCTACAACGACCTTGATGCTCCGATCTGCAAGAAAGCTGGTGATCCAATTGCACAATTTCTCGGGAAGCCCATAGGAAGGCAGCTTCGAAAGAAGCGCTTTGTGCCAAACCCGATCAAAGGCCTTCGCAATGTCCAGACTAACGGCCAACGCCTCCCCCTTGGACTCTACTGCCTTCGCCCATCTATGGGTCAGGTAGACCAGAAGATCACCAACTGATCGACCCCGACGAAAACCGTATTGGCGGTCACTAATCAGCTGGTGATCCTCAAGGTACCGGATGAGCTGGCAGTTAATAATGGATTCCATTATTTTGGAGAACAAGGAGGTGATCGCGATAGGCCTATAGTTGGACGGGTCTGAGCGGTCGCCTTTTTTAGGGATCGGGTGGACAAAAGCTGTCTTCCATGAATTCGGGACTACGCCTTGGGAGTAGGAGTACCGGAAAAGACGCGTTAGGACCGGTGCCAACTCCGGAGCACACGTCCTCAGCACAATTGGGGGGATTCCGTCAGGCCCACTCGACTTCTGGATGTCCAGGGAGAGAAGTGCTTTGCGAACTGAGCGCTGTGAGAATATCACATCCGGCATGGAGCACTCACACCGCGGGATGGTCGGCGGTATTTTCCCCCCGTCATCAAGAGTCGAGTTGGACGCAAAAAGGGAGCCTAAAAGGTCGGCTTTGTCTTTTGCGTCTTGGGCCAGTGAGTCGTCCTCCCTGTGCAGAGATGGTAGTGATGGCTTACAGAAATTCCCTTGGACAGCCTTGGCGAGAGACCAGAATGCACGGGTTCCCGAAGGAAGGCGAACTAGTTTCTCGCCAATTCTGCCTATGTGCTCTGACTTTGCCTTGGCAATAACTCTTTTGAAGGACCTGGAGGCGAAGTTATACTTCTTTTTAAGTGTGCTGGTGTTTACATCCCGAGTCACCGAAGCCGCAGCCCAGGCTTGATAACACTCCTGCTTACTGCGCAATGCAGTCTTACAGGAGCGACCAAACCAAGGCTGAGATCTGCCTCCGATGGGTACCACAGATGATGGAATAAATAGTTCCATTCCCTGTAGCACCACATCAGTGACAGAGTCAGCAACAGCACTGGGATCATCCGGCGAGAAGCAAACCCGCCCCCATGGGTAGGATGCAAAGAAAGACCGCATTCCGTCCCAATCCGCCGACCTGTAATGCCAAACACGGCGGCAACCTGCAGAACGCAACCGCGAAGGGAGCGTGAGTGGCACCATACTCCGGATCAGACAATGGTCCGAAGAGCCGAGAGGGGCATCGACGGAAACCTGATATCCGTCCGGATGAGAGGTCAGCAGAAGGTCCAACAGGGAAGGTGTATGATCCTCCACATCTGGAATCCGCGTAGGCGAAGTAACCAGTTGTGTCAGACCATATGCCAAGGCAAAGTCATAAACAGATCTCCCCGCATGATCGGTTAAACGTGAACCGAGCCATTCGGCATGGTGGGCGTTAAAATCGCCAAGGATCACGATCTCTGCGGATGGGACCTGTTGTAGCAAGGAATCTGTAGCCATTTGGACGTGGTCGATGAGTCGGTCTGTTTCGGCATTACCGCTATGGGACCTATAGAGGCACCCGTAGACGCGCGGATGGTCGTCGCTGTCTACGCGTAGCCAAAGGATGGACAGGTCCGAACCTTCAAGACTGCCGAGGCGTCGAGAACAGATGTCCTCTCTAACATACACGCAAACTCCAGCCCGAGGCACAAAGGAGTGCTCCAATTTGTACCCCGGGTAGGAGAGATACGAAATATCAGTCGGAGAGGAAACCTGCGTCTCGGTCAAAAAGAGCAAGGCCGGCTTCGCCGTCTCGAGATGGTAGTGGACGGCGTTTAGGTTAGAGTGAAGTCCCCTGATGTTGCAGAAATTCACGGATAGCGTGGCAGGGGTCGCCTTGGTATTGTTGCTCAGCTTGCCCCGAGCAGTTTTGTTTTTGAGCGGAATTTTGCCCCCCCCCCCCCAGAATACGCGGGGCAGCCTGAGCACCCACGCTCAGGATTGGAATAACATGGTCGTGGATGCTCAGCGAGGGATTCTCCAGGGGTACTGGTACCCTCCTGGGGTAGTCTATTGTCTAATTCCGCTGGACGATAAATTATGTCGTATTTGTAGCAAGACAGTTCTAAGCGCCACCGTTCAGTTTTTTCATTTTTTATTTTGCTTGAATGTTTTTGATTGAACATAAAAGCAACAGACTGCTGATCGGTTATCAAAATAAAATTTCTTCCAAAAAGATAGTGGTGCCATTTACGAAGTGCTTCCACAATTGCGCTTGCTTCTTTTTCTATAGATGAATGGCCGCGTTCAGTGTTGGACAAAGTTCTTAAAAGGAAAGCTACAGGGCGACCATTTTGAGAAAGGGTTTCAGCTATTGAGTGCTCGGATGCATCGGTTTCTACTGTAAAAGTTTCGTCATTGTCAATAGCTGTCAGGGACGCTTTGGCTATTTCCAATTTTAAAATTTTAAAACATTTTATGGCTTCTTGGCTAAGTTGGAATCGTGTGTTATCAATCAAAGGCTTAATAAGGTATGAAAAGTTGTAAATCCACTTCGAATAGTGAGCTAACATACCCAAAGTACGTCTTAATGAGGCTGCATCTGTTGGAGTAGGGAGATCCAATAGTGGTTTTAATCGTTCTTTGTCTGGCTTGATAACGTTGTTCTCAATGTAATATACTAATAGACTTATACTTTTTGATCCAAAAGTGCATTTCTTCTCATTTAACGTAAGTTTGTATTTCTTCACAGCATTCATAAATTGCTGCAAGTTTTTATCGTGTTCGTCTCTATTTTTGCCACATACAGTCACGTCATCTAATTAACAGAAGGTGCCTCTTAGATTTTCAGCCTCAATTATGAACTGTAGCGTTCTCTGAAACGCAGCCACGCCGTTAGTGACTCCAAATGGTATACGAGTAAATTGATATAGGGCCCCACATTTCAGGGCTTCAAATGCTGTATATTTTCGTTCAGTCTCTAAAATCGGCACTTGGTGATAAGCGCTTTTTAAATCAATTTGGCTGAAATAGTTGTATTTTGCAACGTTGGAAACCATAGATTCAATGTTAGGAAGTGGATACGCATCGAGTTCAGTGAATCTATTAATTGTTAAGGAATAATCAATGACAAGACGTTTTCGATGTGCAGTGCCTCCTGTTACTTGCGCTCGCCAAGGAGAGTTACTCGGTTCAATCACTCTATCCTTCAACAATTTAGAAACTTCTCCTCTAATAAATTCTTCTTCAATTTTTGTATAACGCCTTGACTTTATTGCAATTGGCTTTATGTTTGGAGAAAGGTTCGTAAACAACGATACAGGAGGTACTGACGCTTCCATAACACATATTTTTAAGGAATCCCTTGAACCCCCAAAGTTGAATTTTAATGTCTTGTGGCTTTTCAATAAATCATGTCCTAGGATAACATCTGCACATAGGTTATTGACAATCAGTAAAGGTTGATTTGAATATGTATGCTTGTCTAAATTTATCGTTGTATATATATGTAATGCCCTCTACAAAAGAAATATGACTAAGGGAAGCCAAAGATATAGCCTGCTTATGAGGTCTCATCTTTAAGTTCATATTTTGGGCTAATGTCTTATCAATAAAACTCACAGAACTTCCTGTGTCAATCAGAGCTTCAGCGTGGAATTCATTAATCATAATAGGCACTGTCGCTTTGCTTAAGCTAGATGGAGATGCAGCAGATATACATTTGGTTTTAATAACATCCGTAACTTCACTGTCTACAGCATTTACAGTTGGTCTACCACATTTGCAAACAGTAGCGAAGTGCTCTTTCTTTGAACATAATTGACATATTTCGTTAAAAGCAGGGCATTTTATGCGTTGATGTAGACTTTTATTACCACAAAAAAAACATCGCTTACGTTGACTTGCTGCAATGGCTATGCTGTAATTCTGCGTGCTACTTTCTGTTTTTTCATTGTAAGTATCAGTTACAGCATGTAATTGCATTTGATGATTATTGCAGTTTGTATAAGTTAAAGAATTTTTCTCAGCAGTATCTAAAGATGTAGCTTGATTTTGGGCTTCCTCCAATGTCAAAGTTATATTTTCTAAAAGCCTTTGTCGTATCTTTTGACTTGTGATACGCGATATGAAGGCATCACGAATATAATCATTCATATTTTGTTCCGCCGTTACGTTTTTGAAATTACTGTCGTATGCTAATTGCCTGAGAGCTCGAATATATTCAGTATTAGACTCCTCGGGCCTTTGTTTTCTGGTTGCTAGAGTATATCGTGCATGTATTTCATTTTTAGCCTTTATATAAATGCTATCAAGCAATTGAATGGCAGTCACATAAGAAGAACAGTCACGTATTAGTGAATAGACTGTCGGCGACAAACGGTTGATGAGCAATTTTAACTTAGTTGAATCAGAAATCTGATTTGATTGTTCGTGGCATAAAAAATTTGAAAATGTATACCGCCAGTGGCTCCATTTTAGGTCTTCTGCCGGTGTATCAGGTCCGACTTCAAACCGGTCTGGTCGAAGAAATCGCGACATCGTGTTTATTTCCGAAGAAGAACAGATTGCATCGTTTATCGACATTTTAAAACAATTATGTTGAATAAATTGATAAAGAAAGTCAAAACCAATGGATGTTTGGTTTTATTCAACACAAAAGATTACATACATTATAAAGACTAAATACATTGACAAGTAATAATATTTTAGGATGACAGATATCTTCGTTTATAGCAATTATGAATAAGGTTGTATATTACCGGGTGTCTCAGTAAGAGTGCACTTTTTCATTTTAAAATAAAAACAAGTATTTTATGACAGAGTTGTGATATTTTTATTGTATTGTAAAGAAGACATGTTCCGATTAAGTATGGAATAAAATATCCGGCAAATGACCCCCACGGCTCCGATGACAGGCCATTACTCTTTTCATGAAATTTTCCATGACTTTTGCACAGAGATGTGGCTGTATCTCACCGATGACGCGTTGGATTTCCGATTTGAGCTCAGGAATTGTTTCGGGTTTATTCGCATAAACCCGAGATTTCACAAAACCCCAAAGAAAAAAATCGCACGGCGTTAAATCACACGATCTTGGTGGCCAGTTGACATCAGAGTTTCGTGAGATAATGTTTTCTGGAAATCGTTGCTGTAATAAGTCGATTGTTTCATGCGCGGTGTGGCAGGTTGCGCCATCCTGCTGAAACCACATGTTGTCCAGATCCATGCCGTCTAGTTGAGGCCACAAGAAGTCCGTTATCATATTCCTGTAACGAATGCCGTTCACAGTCACTGCAATTTCGGCCTCATTTTCAAAAAAGTAAGGTCCAATCACGCCGCCTGACCAAAATCCGCATCAGACAGTTACTCGTTGTGGGTGCATTTGTTTCTCATGGATTGCATGAGGATTTTCTGAGTCCCAAATTCGACAATTTTGTGTATTCACGAAGCCATCCAAATGAAAATGCGCTTCATCGGAGAAAATAACTTTTTCCGAAAAATTGGTATCGACTTCACTTTGCTCCATTACCCATTGAACGAATTGCCAGCGCTTTCCGTGGTCTGCTGTTTGAGCTCCTGAGTTAACTGAATCTTGTACGCATGAAGGTGGAGGTCTTTAGTCAAAATTCGCTGCGTAGTGCTTCGTGAAATTTGAAGTTGTTGAGAACGATGTCGAATTGATGTTTTCTGGTTTTCGGCAACACTCTCGTTTACAGCAGCAATGTTTTCAAGAGACCGACCGGTACGTTGACGCAAAAGATTCTTATTATCCATAATTGAACCAGTTTCTTCAAATTTTTTAACCACTCTTTGAATGGTTGACACATTGGGTGCACTTTCTCGGCTGAAAATTTGGCGAAGTTTGCGAGCGGTTTCAGCGTAACTTTCCCCATTTTTGTAATGAGTTTTCACAATTATAACGCGTTGGTCTTTCGAAAACCTCTCCATTTTTAATAATGGGAATAAACAGAGATGACAGCTGTCAAATTTCAGAGTTGCCACTTGCATGAAAAAAAATATTCCAATTTTAAAAAGTGCACTCTTACTGAGACACCCGATATAACAAAGAGGTAAGTATACTACAGGGTGACTGCAGTTTTTGGACGACCTTGACGGGGATCATCACTGAGCTTGACACGTCCTCGTTGAAATTCAGCAAACCAGCGATAAATTGTGGTTTTGGATGGGGCTTCATCACCAAATGCAGAAATCATCCGGTCAACACACTGTTTTTGTGTTAAACCACTTCGATTGTCATAATAAATCATCGCTCTTGAATTTTCTCGAGTCAATTCCATTTTCTCAACGACTAAACAAGTTTGACAAAACCTTGTGACAAGAACGAGAATCTTTTTTTTAAATAAATAAATGGTATTCGATTTTTAAAACCAAGGAATTTTCAATTGAAAGGATTTTAATATGACAGGAATAATGGAAATATTCCATTCCTAATACTTTTAATGCAGCCTATGCAAGTGTCAGGTTGTATTATAATCATTATAATAATCAATACAACCCTCTAAATCGTATAATCCCATTGTATGGCTATTTTCAGAAAACTCATTCAAGGGGATTATAAAATGATTTTAGACGGTGGTATTGGTGATTTAGGTTTTTTTTTATAGACTAAGGTGACAAATGAACACACAATCCACCTGATGGTAAGTGGTTGCGGTGGCCCATAGACATCTACATCTATCTTCGATTACGAATGTACGATACGATACGATACGAAAATGCAGATGCGTTGTCACCCGTGAGGACTAAGATCGAATGCCTCATTTAAAGTAAAAAAGGGTCTCCGGTTAAAAGTATTCAGGTAATTAGTTTTTTTCTCGTTACAGAACTGTCTGAGATTTTTGCGGGGAGAAATCTGCGCTCAACAAAATAATCGTCTGTCACTTTAAAACTCACAAATAACAATAAAAAAAAATAAACTTACAATTTCCCACACACACATTGCTTATTGTATGCTGCCGCATTTTGGAGCAGCCAGTTTTGGTAAATAGATCTGAAACAACACGACCGTTATTATTGTAAATTTTAAGTTCTAAAATTAATAAACAGTAATAATGTGATTAAAAATAACTTATATAATATGAAAGGTAACGCCATCTTTTTTAAATTTGACGTGTCAGATCGATTTTTGCAGCAAAAATATGAAAAAATTTTGTAGCACGCTGATTCAGTAGTTCAACTTATTTTAGTCTAGTGAGCAGTGCGGCTGCAACTAGTTTTATTGTACGCATACGATTGCGTAGATTTATACTTTCACATAAAGGAACGCCTGAGTATGGCTATTCTCCTCCGATCCGCCGGTGGCCCGTGTTGCTCTATGATCCATACCCTTGGCGTTATCACCGAAGCAAACCTAAAAACGTTTATGCGCCATGTTAACTTTCCACATGCGCTATAAATTTTTGTATGTGATACCAATATCATATACCAATCTACTTGTATGTGAATTTTCGCATTATTGCTTTGGCTATAATCGGCTTCGGGAGATTTCGAGTGGAGTGTAACTGGCATATAATTGAGATTTAATATGCGGTAGAGCGAAAATAAGACTATACTATTATATGCAACAGTGACGCGCTAATATTATGTAGTTGCGTAGTAACTAGATACCTAGTATAGTTGTATTATATGTGTTATATAATAGTAGTAGTACAGCTCCATTACGAGTAATCGTGTTCTGTGCTTGACCAAAGTATCAGCTCAGACAGAAGTTTTGGTGGTAACTTGATCGGCGGCGGATTTCTGCTCCTGTATTATTGGAAAGAAGTTCTTTATCGGACGGTATGGGTTTGGCAGATGGGAGCTAGGCGACAAAAAGTATAAGATTTTTTCGTCACTACCCCTTGTGTCATAGAGTATTTTATTTTAAATGACTCTTCATTTTAATAGACGCTAGTAATACATTTATTTGTTTTTGTTAATTAATAATATAATACGTTTATCAATAATAAGGAACTTCGTATCGAGCGAGTGTTCCACGACACACACGCATGTATGTTTTCTTCATATAATTGTTTGAAGTGTATTTTGAAACGTAAAAGTGGTGCGGTTTTGTGTTTTAAGTCTCTGTACATGTGAACTATTAGTGGAAACGGTAAAACAACTGCTCCAATGGTGATGTGAATCTCAAGATAAGGTGTCTGTCTGCTTAGGCGCCTTGAGATACTATCGCCAACTGTCTGCTTTCTCAAGTTGCCTTCAAAATCTCCCAAAAACTACGCAGAAATATTGTGAAGCAGTGTACTATAAAGAATTATTATCACTTGATACTGAAAATCTATAAAAACGAAGATCCCGAATGAAATGAATACGTGGCTTAAGAGTCAAGCATCCGAGCCAAAAATCTTAATAAAAATAAATCATAGATAAAATATACATATGTAGCAAGTAGGGATGCTCGATGTTGCCAAAACATCTTTGATGACATCGATTTTAGCATCGATAGCTCAACATCGATGTTCGATGTTTTAGTAGTACAAAACAAAACATCGATGTTGACCATCATCGATGTTTTTTGTATATGTGTAGATATTTACATATTGTTTCATAATTATGTGGGTATACACAGCGAGGGAAAAAGTAACAATTAACTTGAATATCAATTTACGTACAATAGTTATTATGCGACAACCAACAACGACATTACAAAATAAAGCGAAAGCAGTGAACACTGTGACATTACAGGTGAGACTTGACAATTAAATTTGACACACCATAATGATATTTTTTTAGATTAGCGATGCGTTCAGGAATTCTGAATTATTTAAAATTTTAAATCTTCAGAGGAAATTCAAGATTTAGTAGGGCTGTTTGATAATTAAATTACTAGTTTTAGTTTTCTTTTTAACTATAGTTTTCAATATTGCATATAATAAAATATAAAATATTGTATATTATGTTATATAAATAAATATTTAAGAGATTTAGTTAATATTGATTTCCCGGGGTCGCATTGTTCGCAAGTTCTCAATAATCGATTATGGGTTCATTGACATCGATGCTTCGATGTTTGACATGTGTTAACATCGATTTTTTAATTTTTAACATCGATGATCATCGAACATCCCTAGTAGCAAGCTCACACCTCTATATTACAAGCTATATGTTGTGCCAAATCAAGCTGGTCTCTGGTCTGTCAATCTCAATCTGCCAACCAAATGATTTTTGGTTCATCGGCGGTACGGCGAGCGACTAATACAATAGTTTGGAATATTTGAGATAATAAAACTGCTGTGCAGATAAAACGGCCCAAAATTTGTGTGTGACCGATGTTGCCTTAATTTATATAATAAATATTCAAGATAACTCAATTTTATTGATATAAAGCAAGTCCCGCAACCATGGCTCACTGTATGAGAGTTTTGCATGGCCAAGTAAGTTTTAATATATAAAACATCCAGATCATTTTCTACTTTACGCTTATTATTCGAGTTGACGTTCAGTAAGTATACTATAATCGGAACAACTTTGTTTACAATGTTATCATTCCAATAGTAAATTTTAGATAGTGGATTGAATTCTCGGGTCAACTTGCGTAAAATAAACTGTCTGAGGTCAGTTAGGTCATCTGTAGTACAATCATCTGATTATTGTGTATATTAGTACTGATTTATGATAATTGGTGACAAATTTTCATGTTCAATGACCGATGGTGGTGTTTTCAGGGTAGCAGGACGAGGGCTATGCTCCTGGATATTCAACAAAGATGCTTCAGCGTGTCTCCCCTCACCGCTGCAGCCGCTCAGGTAGGTTTCGATGACAAAAAATGTGTTTTTACAGTGTTTTCAGTGATATCATCATAATGTTATGTAATCAATTATGGTGTTGAAAAATTACATGTTAGCCTAATTTTGATTTGTAATAATGTTGCGTTATAGGTTGCTATGTCGAAATTCGACAAAGCCCCACTGCCATACGAGAAATTGACAAAAAATTTGGAAATAGTAAAGAAGAGGTTAGGTCGAGATATGACCTTGTCGGAAAAGGTGCTCTATTCTCATCTGGATGACCCCAAGGGACAGGTCAGTAATACTTGATTTATAAGTATGCTTTTTTCACTTTTTCTTAGATTAGTAGTCAATTATGAAATTCAGAGTGTTTTAAAGCTGACCACCATGAGCCAATTATTTTTGGAAGAAATTTGATAAATTTTCAAACACCAAATTTTTGGTATTATTTACTCTATACCCGGTTATTACCTACTTTTTTTTTAATCAATTAGTGTAAATAAACTTGAAAATGTTATTATGGTAGCTGTTCATATGTAATAACATTATTAATTTTTTTTTGATATTATATAAAAATTTCTCGTAAATTCATATTAAATATGTTTAATTTTATTTCTAAAATTTTTATTTTTGGTTTGTTCAATCCTCTTAATAATTTCTACCACTATACAGCAGGGTATAAAATAATACATTGTGGATATTGAATGTCAATATATTTGCTCAGTGAGTAATATTTTAATATAATTCCATAAAAAGACTTATGGATTCAGATAGTAAAAAAAAAGATATAAAATAACTGCATACAGTCACTTGCTTCAACTGCTTGCCTGACTGAAATATGATAATAGTAATAATAACCACCTTTTATTCACGGATGTAAAATACTTTTTTTTATCATTAAGGCCCTTGGTATTGTGGTTATGTCACAATAATTCTGCCAATGTGTGGTCTTTCGTCTGTCACAGGAGTTAGCGGTTATTAGGTGAAAATGTGGATAAAAACAAAGCAACTAAATACATGAATTGTGGACAACACAATATAGGACAAACATTAGGATTAGCCTGAGCAGGGAATAGAGAATTAGGTTAAGCTAAATTTAGTACACAATAATTAGAATTTAATATTATACATTTGAATATATTTTGAGATCATATTGACATACATGGAATCAGGGATAGTTAAGAGGGAATTAATATTCACTGGTCGAGGGATTGTTTTGGGAAGGCAGTCATATAAAGAAATTGGTTGATTTTGACAGTTGAAGAAAAGGTGGTATGGAGTATCTTCATCCAAACCACATTCACAGAGTGAATGATTTTTGATTCTAATTTTAGCTAGAAATACAGGAGTGCAGACATGCCCGAGCCTTCGGCAGATTGTAGATGTGATTTGTTTGTTCAAAAAGCTAAATTTAAAAATCAAGGCTTTGGAGGAATTTCGGGTTGGATTTTACCATAGTGGCAACCTTTAATATGTCTGGATATACTCCATTCTCTGTCCCAAGAATTCTTTAATTCAATTTGAGCTAATGACATTAGATCATCAGAGTAATTCATTAAATGAGAAGGACAGCCAGTATCTACAGCTCCTTTGGGCCAGGAGCATAAAATACTTACACTGGTGCTTAATATTCTGTACGGCAACTGTCAATATGCCAGGCAATTGTGATGTTTAAGGTGAATTCTCCCTACATGAGGGGAGGCCTATGTCCAGCAGAGGACTTTATAGACTGATGAAGAATAAGATGAAGATGTATACATACATGGCTATCTGTATGCAACTACTTTTTAAAATATTATTCTTAACAATTTTTATTTTATTTATGACAACACTAGCAGTGAAAAAACAGTAAAGAATATGTTATCTCACATGTAGATATGATAAGCAAAAAGATTTAAGAATGTTAGACACAATGTTTTGTATGTAAACTGTCTTAAATCATCTCAATCAACTGATATGTTATATATTCTTTGATGTTGTTATTTTTTATCAATTAATGATATAATTTAAAATTAAAAATTTTGTACAGCCCACTTCAATATGAGTTATTAAGAATAACTCAAAAACTATTGGTCTAACCTTGATCAAATTCATATGGGACCACACGAGAAGAACCAGCTTTCAAATAAAAAAAGAATCATCCAAATCAGTTCACCCAGTAAAAAGTTATGAGGTAACACACATTAAAAAAAACATACAGTCGAATTGAGTACCGTCTCCTTTTTAGAAGTCGGCAGAAAAGTGTATGTTTTTTCTGTGATGCAATGAGTATCTAGTAATTAATATATTATTTTGTGAAAACTTTACTTTTTAGATTGTTACATAATTTAAAGGGCTTAAGGGATGTAGTTTTCACAAAATTTGTTGATTTTTTGATATTGAGAGTGTGTTTAAAATAGTAAAATATTTGCCAAAGTGATCATTGCAACATTTTGTGGAAACTCTTCATTTATGCATTGGATAAGAAATAAAAATTATGAAATGAACGGAGATTATTATATTAGACTATTTCTTTTAGTATAATCCATATAATTTTTAAAATGGTTTTCATCCAACCCAGGACATTGAGCGAGGCACCAGCTATTTACGGCTCCGACCTGATCGTGTGGCTATGCAAGATGCCACGGCACAAATGGCCATGTTACAATTTATTTCCTCTGGCTTACCACGCGTAGCAGTACCATCTACTATCCATTGTGACCACTTAATTGAGGCACAAGTTGGTGGTGACAAAGACTTGGCAAGAGCTAAGGTGAGTTGGATCAATGTGAAATATAACAAATCATAGGTAAATTAATATATTCAAAATCACTATGTTATCATATACTATATTATACATAAATTGTTTATTATAATTACTTTATGTACACTTATTCACTTCACACATTATAATCAAATTAATAAATAAATTATCCTTATTAGGACCTCAACAAAGAAGTATACAAATTCCTGGAAACCGCAGGTGCTAAATACGGTGTAGGATTCTGGAAACCAGGCTCTGGTATTATCCATCAGATCATCTTGGAGAATTATGCTTTCCCTGGTTTGCTCATGATAGGCACAGACTCTCACACACCCAATGGTGGAGGTCTGGGAGGACTTTGCATAGGTAAGAATAAAATATTTTATTGTATAAATTTTACTAAATGGTAGGTTTCATCTCAAAGTCTATGTGTAATAATATTAGATTCTTTTGAACACAATTGTATTCTTCAAACTTATATGTCCTTTACATCAATGTCTGTCTACAGAAAAACTTTAATAGGATTAGTGTTGCCACCGTCACACCAAGCTTTACCTTATAACACCTAAACCTAATTACTTACTGCCCATTAAACTTTCACAATCCACTCGCTCTCTATAACTATTACTTAGTTTCTAGACAAGAAAATAGATGCTCTCGTTCGAATTTATTCAAATTCCTTGAAAGACATGAATGCACTCCCAACAATGATGTATAAACAAGTAAACAATTTGATGTTTTGTTTTAATTTAATGTATCAATGTGAATTGAGCCTTCCTCATACAAAGTCATAAGATGACAACCGCTTGCATGAAAAGATTTTGATTAATCCTAAAGGCTGATCATATTAATGTTAAACACTCACTATCTGCGGTACCATAAATCATCGGTGCACTAGGGACAGACCCGTGTGGTGTGTCACTTATCGATAACCGCTTATTAATTAGGTAGTTAGTTAATAATTACTCATAGTATTAATACCTGTTTTAATATGCTTCTATAGTCATTTGACATTTCTATGTTGCTGACTATTGATTTAACATAATTATTTTAAAATGGACGCATTTTTCGAAAGCAATATTAAATGTGATCGAACAAATATTCAACCTCAATTTATTCATTTTCATTTTATTTTATAGCCATTTTATTTAGTCTCATCGACACGACTGGTGTGTCACTATGCCTACTGTGAGTGCGACAGAGAGCGCCACATGCGACGTCCTGTTTCCACATTTTATTGCACAGCGGGCAGCGAGTGTTTAACATTAGTATAATATAGAATGCTTATAGCAATATGTCCACCAATTTTACCTGTCTTAAAGGTCGATAAAGTATAGATAAATAAACTGCCGTTTACTTAAATTGGTGTTACGTAGTTGAATAAAGATTTTCTTATAAATCTTACCTAAAATAGGCATTCTTTCACTAAAAAAGGAAAGTTATAACTTATTAGCTGTTTCCCGCGACTTCACCCACGTGGAATTATTTTGTGCGGAACCCTAGAATAAAAGTATCCTAAGTTACTCTTTGGCTTACACATAAAATATGGATATATACTGTTGCAGACTTTTTTGTGGAACTCTTTAGGAGAAACAATTCCACCATACATTATTTTACACCGCACGCCAAAATAGCTCGCAGATGACAGATTTTTTCCGACTTACTTAACATTTATCGTTATATTTTGGCCAATTTATTTATTTATGTGTTATTCTGAAGCTATATAATTGTAAAGTTTCATTAAAATCCATTTAGTAGTTTTTACGTGAAAGAGTAACAAACATCCATACATCCTCACAAACTTTCATGTTTGTAATATTATAACATAACTTATATCCCACTGACACATACCTTCCTTAATGCTTGATCAGACAATAAATTTATCATTAAGATCTTTTGTTCCTATACTGTATTTAAGTTTTTTTTTATTGTGATATATATTATGTTAGATGTGTAATAAACTGTATGTGGATGTTTCTTGTTCAGGTGTTGGTGGTGCAGATGCTGTTGACGTAATGGCTGACATTCCATGGGAGCTGAAATGCCCCAAGGTTATTGGTGTTAGATTGACTGGTAAGTTTCAGTTCTGTTCAGTCTCACAAAAATTAATTATTTTCTGTTTATCAGTGCAAAACAATATTTTTTGATTCAAAAAATGCTAGGAATACTATTAATATTACAAATGTTCCTTTTTACCACTCCTGGTAAGCTTAAAATGCTTGTTTTAGAAGTGGTTCACGAGATTAACCCAATAACGGAATCGAACATACGCCCTTTTGAGTTCACGATATACACCCTGCCTTTACGCTACTGTCACTTAATTTTGATTTGGTTACTATGGTGGAAAAGGTTCCCGATCCTGATTATGGACTACTGTCTTACGTATTTGTGCAGCTATAAGCTACAGTGCTTTCCCCTGTGGTATTCGAATTTTTTGTCAGTAGCAAGGAGTCTGTATTTTTAATTGACTTAAAAAAAAAGAAGTTTCCCAATGCGATTGTATTTTTGTGTGTGCACTGCGCTACACGATAGTTTCTTCGATAGTGAACCGATATAAATGTTTCTGTTTTAATAGACTATACCTCGAGGGTCGTTCAATTTATATTTGACGAAAATATTCCACCACTAAGGCTTTTAAAATAGGGGATGTAGCTTTTGAACGAAACTCTATACACAACTTTCTAGTTGACTGACCTTGAGCTTATGTTATTCTTAAACTCACTCAAATGAATCAAATAATCGAACCTTTAAAAAAAAGAATACAACAGTTTCTACATAACTTAATATATTTCCTTGTTAGTTTTTACTTATTTTCGGCTCATTATTTTATTTAAACAAACATTACCATGAGGCCGTGAGGCACGTTGAGCGAATGAGTGAAGACCGAATGGTGAAGAAAATATATAGCGCGAAAGTTAATATTAAAAGGTGTCGAGGTAGACCGAGACTAACTTTCGAAGATCATGTGAGCAAATTGCTCGAAGAGAGTAGGGTCAAGAGTACTCGGATACCTAGACGTGCATGTATGAAGAAGATAATGAATCTGAAAGAAGCGAAAGAGATATGTAAGGATCGTGACACTTGGCGATCTGTTCTCTCTGGCTACCCCGTCAGGGATTGTGCGTGAAGATAAGTAAGTAAGTATTACCACCAAACTAGATCGCTGTATAATGATGGCGTTTTACATACATAAATAGCTAATGAATAAACAGCCAGACCTGGAACAATTATTTGTATGTATATTTATAAATAATTGTTGCGTACGGGAGTTAAACCCGCGGCGCGCATCGCTGCTGACTAACTCCTAGTTACTGCACTACTGAGCCTTCTGGAGCGCTTTATTTGAATTTGGTTTGACATTGACACTTGCGTCAGTAGGCTTCACGTGCATGATTAACTTTATTATCATTCATTATGTTTGACCACCTATGCTATTATTATAAAAATGTTGCTTAAACTTATATTCAAAATCTACACACATTGAAAACATTTTAGATATTGTAATGCAACACAGATAACATTATCTTCACGAGCATTATCGCTTTTATAATCTAACATTTCATAATTTGCTTAATATGATTATGTGAAATATTGATTATGACACCGGAAATTATGTATTTTTTTCTTTCTAAAATATAGGAATATGTGACGCATGTCGCTTGACATAAGTATTGAGGATAAAAATTGTGTTAAAAACTCTTTATAACTTTAATTAATTCATTATGTATACTGTACTATAAACAATGCAAATATTTTTTACTAGTTAAGAGATTTAAGTGTATTCGAATATATTTTTAACATACTTTTATTAGCTTCTCGTGGGATTATTCCGTTTATTGACCCTAAGAAATCCACCCTAGGGTGGATACTCGGAAACGCGTGTTCGTTTATCCACCCTAGACGGGGTGGATAGTCGGTATTCACTTTTTTATTCTTGTTCTGCCTTTTCACCTCAAGTAAAGTTCAACAAAAAATATATTCATAATTTATATTTATTTAAATATATTATTGATTAATTTTTAATAACCACAAACTTAAACAAGAATCATATTACGTACTGCATTTAAACTGATTTTGTTTTTTGCCAAGATTTCAATGGATTTGTGGTTCTGTTAGACACTGAATGAACTCCAAACATAGTCTTTTCATAGTAATTCTCAAACGCCATTATATTATCATCATTATTCAAAGACGTAAATTTTGTCACATCGAATAAGATGTAATTGAACAATTAAAATATTTCGGTTTTGACCTTTAAACAAGAAGTATGTATGTATTTTTATAAGTCCGCTAATGTCTACTAAGTAATCTTGGGCCAGTTTCTATTACGTTCTTATAAACACAATGTTTCAATGTACACAGCCGAGGGAGAAAATCGGAAGATAAAATAATATACGTATGCCGATTATGCAACCTGTCTGGGTGGATAAACGAACACACGTTTCCGACTATCCACCCTAGGGTGAATTTCTTAGGTTGGATAAACGGAATAACCCTTCGCGTGTTTCTTTCTATCTATCTCTGTAAAGGGATCTTTTAATATAATTTTTACCAGCAACAACCAGACGGCCGATTGATTTGAAAATTCGCAAATTTTTATCCTAGTGTCCTGATAAGGATCATCAGAATAAAAAAAATTTCATGATCATCACATCTCATGATCAGTGCTTAAGTTTTTATTAAACTCTTATATTATTATTTTAAAGTACATAATATATAAAACTAAAGATATCAGTGTTCGACTTCACTTATAAACCAAATGACATTTCAACGATAAAGAACGTTCACGCAACGATAAACAACGCCACCTTAGAATAGATATGTATGTCCTTCTAATTATAGAGGTTAGTGGCGCAATTTGACACGTTACTTGAACGCACTCGTAAATTGTGAACATATTTACTATTTTTATAATAACCGTATGTGCTAAAAGAAATGTTATTTTTAATGAAAAATAACATTTCTTAAAAAGTTAAGAACGAGAAAATCACAGAAAAACATTTATTCGTTGTTATTTGTGCAGTGCGCAGCGTGTTTCTAGCTGATATAAATAGCAATCAAATTTTGAATGGCGCAGCGCCAGAACGCTAGCCAGAAGTTAGAAATTTTTATTCTGTATGCATCTATACTAAAACATTAAAACCCTCTTTACACTTTTATTCACAAGTTTTCGAGTTTGCGAAGTTGCTTTTAGATAGGTTCTACAATGAGAAGTAAAATTCCAAAGGTTCGTGAATCTGCAGACTTTGGACACTTCCTCTCTAATCTATAAACTTATGTACTTCCCAATTACTGTGTGTTGAGTGGATTGAGAGTACAAACATTCGAACAATGAAGAAAAACATATATTCTAAATTCAAAATTATTTAGAAAATCTAAAACTGCAGGTCTCATGAGCGTTTCATTTAATTTTGACGAAAAAAATTAGCAAAATAAATAGATTACACAAAGTATAAAATCGATATAGGCTGTATGATACATTTGTCCTTTGTCTATCAAGGGCTAATAAAAATCAAATGGAAATTTTAGGTAGAAGGTACATTTCTAAAAAATAAAAAATCTTTTTAACAAACTACGCTTTAATAAAATTTAATAAATCTCACTTTAAAACATTTTTAGAATTATACCGAGTAAACTTAAATTGATGGAACACTGTTATAGTTTTTTTTCTTTGTCTTCATCGTCATCATAGCGTATTAAAGTCCGCTGCTGAACATGGGCCTCCCTCATAGATTTTTTGCCATCCTTAACATGCTTAGCAGGTGCGTTGGCAACTGAAGTTTATTATTATTTTGATTAATTATCAGAAAGATCCTAATGCCTATCTCCTGTTTCTATGGTATGGGTTAGTGAATATTGTCACACCGCCACTACACGGCCACTATAAAAGTGACGTAGTGATAGAAGAGTTTCTTTGTCTTACCGCTAAATAAAAAAACGTATATTAAATAAGATGTTACATAGTGCGAATTTGTATCAATAAAAAATATTGACTTTTAAATAAGCATAAAACACAAGTATTGTAAAACAAATTTAATGATTAAATGTTTCACATTAAACTTAAGTGCGGTAATAATTCTACCGTTTAACTTTTATCACAACTGGGCATGTTAAAGAAAAAAAAAACTTGAATATAATAGGTATCGAAATATTTCAAATCATGTATCATTTTAAATAGCGACGTTTCAAATTGATTTGTGCTAGTTGTTCAATCTAAGTTCTGCTATACAATCAATAGAGATCCATTTAAAATAATAGCTGAGTATATTTGTGCAAATGCAGAATATTATGTAAATTGCGCACTATAGAATTCGAGATAACATTAAAACGGGTATAGTTTTCATGTGACCAGACAGTTATACTACTAACATAATATTTATTTGTTAACGATGGATGCACTTTGAACATCAATTAAATGATAAATGTCCTAATGAATGAGAATTTCTTACGTCGGCTCAAGTGTTATTTTAAACACATATTTTATACAATCGTTATTTGAATTGGCCCTTTTAAAAACTACTTACGTTATATAAATGAAACTTCAGCCCATGTTTAATTTTTGATATTGGCTTAAATATTTATGTCTGTCTTTAACTCTATTCTACTCAAAGAGCTCTGAATTTAAAAATAGGTAGTAATGTAAGGGTTAGGGAATCTGAGGCTTTACACGGTTCTTTTTCAATAACCGGCTAAATTTGTAGGCAAGAATTTATAGAATAAGTACCTATTAGTGGCGGATGGTGAAGAAAAATTAATTTAAAAAAATCTCAAACATTCTGTCCTTTCTATATCTTTTAAATTTATAATTTAAAATTAAAAATGTTGTACAGCCGACTTCAATATAAGTTATTAAGATGACTCAATAACTGTTGGTCTGACCTTGATCAAATTCATATAAAAAAAGAATCATCGAAATCGATTCACCAGTAAAAAGTTATGAGGTAACACACATAAAAAAACATATAGTCGAATTGAGTACCGTCTCCTTTTTGGAAGTCTGCAGAAAATGCGCGGTAATGCATTATTTGAACTTATTTTACTGCGCACTCACACATTTGTAAGGGTACCGATCGATAGGTATTAAACGTTGCCCATAAATCACATTCAATTTGGGGTAATTGCAAATAAAAGTATAAGCCTTGTTTACTCGTATTTTCAAAAACTGCAATAACGATGTATCATTATTTATCATTACAAGTTTAAAATGTGACAACTTTTAAAATAATATTAGAGGCCTCAACATATTTCAGCCATGCCCTCTCATTTTTGCCAAAGTTGTGTCTTGACGGGCATTACAAAAGACTTTTTCTTATTTAAGGTCTACTCAAGTCGTTTCAACTGCTTGTTTAAATTTTCTTACGTGTTAAAACTTACATGATCTTACCACTTTCCCAGCAATGTCGAAGCTACTATATATCAATCTTGCTCCACTTTTTACCAAATCGAAATTCTTTACTAATAATGATTTCTTATATTTACGCGAACACTACACACTGAATAAAACTACTTTTACGGATTTTGACACGTTTCATTTACTTATTTTATATCATCACCTCAGTCCCCCGTGACCACGGTTGCTGGAAAGCAACCGAGACGTCGGGAATATAAAACAAGTTAATTAAACGCGATAAAATCCGTAAAAGTAGTTTTATTCAATTCTTTACTAATATTCATTTTCAGACTGAAGAACTATTTTCTTTTTTTTTTTGAGAAAGCTTAAAGCACAGCGCGGGAACAATATAGATCTGTTAAAAATAAAAACTTCCATATACGTCTTGCCGCCCAGATTATCTGTGGTTTATTATTTAAGTAGAGATGTAAGATTTAATAATTTTACAGTGGTTAGTTTTTGTAAAACACCTAAAAAAGCAAGAAAACAGATGTGGTATGATCTACCTACTATATTAATGTTATATTCGTTGAGTGTAGTTGTCAAAATAAATATTTAACAAAATGTTAAAGTAAGTGCGGACATCATCAACATTATTTAAAATTCTCCGGTCGAGCCGACCCATTCATTAAGATCTTTGAACGTCCTTTCGAGGTTGTTTTTATACAACCTATGGAATTTACGTGGTAGAGCCACGCTGCAGCTATATTAGTAGTATAGTTGTAGCACGAATGGGTCGGCTCGACCGGGGAAGGACCACGCTCTCACAGAATACCAGCGTCAAATAGTAGTTTAACATTGCTGTGTTTCGTATGGTGAGTGTAGAGAACCGGAGACCCTTTTTACTGGAAAAGAGGCATTCCATCTTAGTCCTCACGAGTGACAACGCATCTCCGTTTTGATTATTTATTGAGGATAGATGTGTATGTCTATGGGTCACAGCAACCACTTACCATCAGGTGGACTGTGTCACTCGATACTATAAAAAAAAAAATTGATAGCAATGAAGCAGTTTCACTGGTGGTCAGATCTTCAATAATGTTAACAGCATTACAACCTTATATATCGTAAATAATATCAGAGGAAAGGAAAAAATATTGTATTAAAATGAATGTGGTTGTGGTTGATATTAAATCATCTATATCAATCATTGTTGTACATGTCACTAATAGTATATATTACTGAAATACCGTGTAGATTTAATATCTTGACATGCAATATCATGATAAAATTGATAATAACTTTCTACAACTTTGCAAAATATTATTTTATCTTACATCAATTGCATTGTGAATTACATCAGTTGAATATCAGTGAAATAGTTTTATGTAATCTTACGTTATTTAGTTTTGTTTAACTTTACCGTGATTGTTGATCTAACCTCTTAGTAATAAAACATCGTTACAAAAAAGAACATTAGTATAAAACATATTTACACACCTGAAAGCGCCACGCTCACACAGAAAACAAGCCAAATATAACAGCTTAATTCTGCTGTCTTTCGTGTGTTGTCTGTAGTGAATCTGAGACCCTTTTTTAAGGGATACGAGCCTCATTTTTGTCCTCAGGCGTGACAATGGACCTTATTTATCTTCACGCACAATCCCTGACGGGGTAGCCAGAGAGAACAGATCGCCAAGTGTCACGATCCTTACATACCTCTTTCGCTTCTTTCAGATTCATTATCTTCTTCATACATGCACGTCTAGGTATCCGAGTACTCTTGACCCTACCCTCTTCGCGCAATTTGACAATGGACCTGCATTTTGATTATTTACTGAGGATAGATGTAGGTGTCTATGGGCCACTGCATCTACTTATCATTAGGTGCATAGTGTGTTCGTTTGTCACCCTCATATTTAATACACATTGAATATAATTTTACAGATTTTATACCGTCTTATTACAATAAGTACCTTATAATTAATATCAGATTTAAACTAGTCTCTTTCACAAAAGAAATCTCGCGGAAATATGCGGACGTAAATGTAAATTATGGAATTTAAATGTAGCGTATTGCGCGAAGACTGTGGCGACGCGACGTGGCTGCAACAGCTAGTGAGAAAGAGTTCTTATTATACCATAGTTTAAACTTGAGGTAGTCTGTTTTAAGGGAACTACAGGAGCTTGACGCAAGTTTTATTATGCCTTAAAGTATGATCTACTGTAGTAAACAATATCACATAAATATGTCATATTTTTCTGGATATATGCTAGTTAGGTAGTGTGTTGAAGACATATAATACTAATTTGATACGATAGAAAAAAATCACAAATATACCTCCAAAATTTCTTTTAATTATTAAAAACCATACTAATATACGTGCAATCATTCTGATTTTTTGTCAGATTATTCTACGAGCAACATTATAACGTAATAGTGTTTTAATTTCTTAGTCCATTCAATAGATTTTTCTAAATCGCATATTCTTATTTCTGAACATAATACGTACGCATGTGTGCGTAAAGGCCTGTGTACAGACAGTGATGGCCGAGGCCTTATGCTATACAGAAATTGTGTAAATGTGTGCGTGTATCGTCCAATTAGCTCTTGTAGTCCTCTTAAAGCATGTTCCAGACGAATGTAAGCCAGCGTCCCAATAGAGGTGACCTTGGTGGGAGCTCGGTTTCCATTCGCAGATTGTTCTGGCTAGACGGATCACAACCAAGCGCCAACACGGTCGAACTTCACTGTGCATCGCGATCGCTTAGAATTAATTTGTAGAAATTGCTCCTAATTTGTTCAAATTTCAATTTAATTTCGCGTTCGCTTTGCTGGTCCATGGAGGATATTAAACCCGTATACGTGCGCACCCACTGCCTGCCGAAACACAAATGTCTCTGGTAAGATGTAATCCACGTGCTCTAACTGCGGTAGCAGTGCGCGCCCGTCCTCCAAGGACGTTGAAGGTCAAATAAAAATTTGGATTACATCTGCCGTCTAGATGGATGACAACAAGCAAGGTCATCACTGTTGTTACACTGGATTATATTCATCTGGAACATACTTAAACTAGAGTATGTTTCAATAAAGAAGTACCGTAGAAAATATGCTAATTAAAATGAAAAGTATGATACACGAAGACTGTAACGCCGCGGCTAATGGACTTCTTTCGTGATAAAAACTTCTTTAAACCCGAGACTGTCAATAAATAAACCACGTTTAATATAAATTTCAATCCGGCCATTGAGGTTGAATTAACGTATTTTGAGTTCCTGATACTTGTGACCTTTGCCAGCACCCGTGGTGTCAATACCACCCTGGTGTCATAGTTAGGTCAGGATATCTTTAACGAAAATTATTAATTTTACCACGTTTTTATTAACTCACTTTCGTGTATCTGTTCGGGCTGAATTTCGTAATTGATTTTAAACCAACTTTCCGATGAGCTAGAGACTTCAAATTTTGAACATGGCCCAGAACTGCATGAGAATGTAAGAATATGAAAAAAATAATACAGAAAGAATTTTATACTTTTTAGTCCGCTTTAAACATGGGGTATGGTAATTTCTTTTACTCATAAACTTGTTTTAACTACCGACAACTATAGGACTAAGCTACTCATTTATTTTCATTAACGGAAGAAACACCTCTGCACACTATGTCGGAAACTACGTACTTTGCCCAGAAGAAGTGAAAATGCTTACATCTAAGCAACTTCTTCAATCTATTAAAGATATAGGGCTTAGGAATGAACCATAGCCATAGCAGCGATCACTAAGGATCTTACTGGTCGCAGTGATACTGGTCTTATTGGACCTGCATATCAGCTCGCTAAAAACTATCATGTATTTTTTGACATTCAGGATATATTTACTCGCAGGTCAGCTGAAAGGCTGGACAAGTCCAAAAGACGTGATCCTGAAGGTAGCCGGTATCTTAACCGTGAAAGGAGGTACTGGCGCTATCGTAGAGTACCATGGACCAGGTGTTGATTCCATCTCCTGTACCGGTATGGCCACTATCTGCAATATGGGAGCTGAAATTGGTGCTACCACTAGTGTAAGTATAATTAATGTTTTTATTTTAATTATGTGATTATGTGAACAATAAGCCCTATATACTCGTATTGTGTCCTGTTGCTGGGCACAGGCCTCGACTCATTAATTCAGATAGATTATTAACATTATTGGGTTTCCCATTATTTCTCTTACAACCGCATGGGGCGAAAAAAGGTGATACGACTCTTTACATCACCACTACGTGATTTTTGTTCATGTATCATATATATATATATATTACGTAAGCAAATCTTATTTTATTATGTGTATACAAAATATTGTATTATTTGATTGTACAGGTGTTCCCGTACAACTCCCGCATGGAAGCGTACCTTAAATCAACTGGACGCCACGATATCGCAGCCACCGCAAATTCTTACAAACATTTGCTGACACCTGACCCCAAGGCACCATATGACCAGGTTTTTATTTATTTTTTATAGTAATACATATTAAGTAACAATACGTCATTGCTCATGGGGGGTATATTGCCATAGTTGCCACGCTTGGCGAGCGGGTTGGCAACCGCAGTTTTTTATTGTTATTTTGGCTATTATCAGGAAGATGCTGCTGCCCATCTCCTGCCTGTTTCCCTTTGTCGCCTTTTACGACACCCACGGGAAGATTTGGGGTAGTGGATATTCTTAACCGCCACTACACGGCAGTGTAGGGCGTCCCCCCACTAGATGGAGTGACGACCTGGTAAGATATGCAGGAAGTCGATGGATGCAGGTGGCTCAGGACCGTGCTTTGTGGCATTCTTTGGGGGAGGCCTATGTTCAGCAGTGGACTTGTGAAGGGCTGTAATGATGATGATGAACAATACGTCGTCGACGCCGCAAAGGGGTGAACCTTAATTTTTCAAAAAATTACAGAAGGGCAAGAAACATTTATAGATTCCCCGATTACTAGCTTTTTTCTTCAGAAAATTAAATATATTAGCCTTAATAGAAAACTACAATAAGATAAATCGGGAAATAATAAATGTTTTCTTGCCCTCCTGTAATTTTTTGAAAAATTGAGGTTAGCCCCTTTGCGGCGTCAACGACGAATTGATATTGGAATTTTCTTTGTAGAATAGATATTGTGTAAAGCAAAAGATAAGATTGAAGAATAACACTACTTCAGTCAGATACAACTGATAACCTTTCCAACATCATTTAAGTAAAAGGAGATATAAAAATTCATAACATAGGGTCATCGTAGCAAACTTTAATGAATCATGCAAAGAAATAACTAACTAATAACATAAGCAAAATCTGATTTATTATATATGTATTTTCCGGGTATCGTGATTAATATTTAATATCCGACATTTCCGTGCTTTCCAACAATCATGGAGCACTGACGTATTCAAAGACCAGTGGGGTTAACCAAGACGATATTCTGCAATCGTTAACACAATAGGGAATTATAAAAATGAATGAAACCTGTCACGTGACGTATGTTCAGATAATATGTCATTCTTCTTCATTTTAACCCCACACGAGAACGAGGAGTGTTATATGTTTTTAACGTGTGTACGTGTATTAATCTTTCTATGTATCTGTCTGTCCGTCTGTGTCGTCGTAACTCAAAAATGGGTGAAGCTATTTAGATTTGGTTCCTTTTGTTTGAAAAGTGACTTGAACGAGGATGTTCTTAGCCATGATTCAAGAAAATCTTTTCAGCCGTTTGAAGATCGTCAGTTCTTTTTGTTTAGGAGGTTTTTTAATTTTTTTTAATTTAAATTGTTATAGTTTTGTATATCGTTAGCGTTCATAAAAAGTCATTTTGACTAACTCCGCTGATGTCATAGTTAACCAAAGATTTCTATGTATGCTACTAGACTGAGTATTCAAGTAAATATGCAACGCAGTTATATTTTCATTTACGACATTACTGTTTTTAGACATACGAAATAAAGTTAAATACTAATCAGAAATAAATTTCAAATCACGTTGACAAAGTGTGCACATAAATAATGACAGCGTCTTCTTAGTAACATTAAACAAAATCATTGTAACATTGTCGAAAACAACGTCCGCGTTTTACAAAAGAAAGAACTCGTCTCCTCGCCCACTCGAAGACGACCGTCGGCGAATTGATCGTAACTGTATATAAAGTAATGCACAAGAATTTAAGACTGCAGAGCTCGTATAGTTAACATAGAATCTGAAATAAACCCAGTTAACATCAGCAACTAATGTATACTTAACAACAAATACTCAAGAAAGAACAACGATTTAGAATTTGTGAGGCCATTGAAATTAAAAATTATGCACATTTTATTAGATAAGATGGCTGGATGGTCCCATTTGCGTGGGATGTTATATTTCAAGCACGATCTTCTTCTTCTTATCTTTAGGCTGGAGTTAGTGCTCGACCGACGGTCAGCACGTACCGTCCGCGCTGACGGTACGTCCTGATCGTCGGTCGAGGCCAAGTGTTTAGTTAACTGACGGCAAGCTTTGTTAGACGTGTACAATTACGAATAAAAATGAATCCATTTGTTAACTCTATAATATTACTACTAATGCCGTAATTGTTTGCGTACAATTACGGCATGATAAACGGAGAAGGTATCATGTGCACCCAATAATTGTAGACCGTTTAATTGAAGGAGAATTTTGTTCATTGTATTCGAATTTGCGAAATCAATGTTCATTTTTGTTCGCGATAATGAGTACGCGCGTACAGTCGGTCGCTCTATCAGCGTCGCACTGAACGCACGCATTTACCGCCATAGCGTGTCAATCAACCGATGTACATCGGACCGACGAGCTTGACCGACGGTCCTCGTACGCGCGTAGTACTTCATCAGCGCTGTACTGTAGCCGTTAATAGGTTTTCATTGATATAGCTCAACCTATGTCAGCGCTCACCGTCGGTCGAGCACTAAATCCAGCCTAAAAGAATAATAGCTCCATAGTCTAACCATTGATTATCTGCCAATGTCAACGTTGAGAAATACAAGGGGGAATATTACCAAAAAAAAAGAAGGAACCATTAAAATATATTTTACTACTAGTTTTAGAGACAATTTTAAGCAGTATCCTCGTATTTGAGGTCGAGGCGTTTGACATCCTGTCATATTTAACTCAACTTGCCAGTTTTTAATTATCAATTATTGATATCATCTACGCAGCAAGATTCTTTCAAATATACAATTTTTTCAGACATTCAACCTTATAGTCCACCTAGTAAGTGGCTAGTGCAGTCCATGGACACCTGTAGCCAGCTTCAAACAAAGAATACAGATTCGTTGTAACCTCGTCTAGGTGGCAAGACTACTTTTCTGGCTGGGAGTGTTTTTGCCACCAAACAAATGCAAACACTGCTATTTGCACTGCTGTGTTGCCATTTGAGGGGTGTAGAGAGCCAATATAATTGCTGGCTTTAATGTATTCCATCTTGCCACTTGCAACGAAGGTGACAACTCATCTCTAGTCTTCTTTGTTTAAAGTTAGCTGCAGGTGTCCATGGACTGCAGAGTAGCCACATACCACCAGGTGGCCTGTAAGTTCGTGTGTTACTTTTTTGTAATAAAAACACTGTTTTATAAAAAAAAATAAGATGTTTTTTATTTAAATAACTAGCTGTTCTCCGCGACTTCGCTCGCGTATTAGGGTTTTTATGTTTTTGCGCAGAACCCTAATTCTTTTTCTAAAATGAATGTAGCCTAAGTTACTCCTTATGAAATCAGCTACCTGCCAGTGAAAGTCCCGTCAACATCGGCCCAGCCGGTTCGGAGATTAGCCGGAACAAACAGACAGACAGACAAAGAGACAAAAATTTTAAAAATTGTATTTTAGCGTCAGTAGCCTAATGGCAGGGCGCGGACCGCGAACTCGAAATGTCGTGGGTTCGAATCCGCCATTCGACTACTGTCGTGAACCACTTCTAACACAAGCATTTTAAACTTACCAGAAATGGTTAAAGGGAATATTAGTAATGTTTAATAGCATTACTAGTATTTTACTAATAAAAAAAAGTAATAAGTACCATATTAGCTTTCATATGCATTTAGTAAAAAACTGTAATTTTGACATTACAAACAGACACTTCAATTTTATTTATTTGTATAGATAATAATAAATACTTCTTATTGGTTACAGCTTATCGAATTAGATTTATCAACTCTCGAACCCCATGTAAACGGTCCCTTCACACCTGATCTGGCCAACCCTATCTCGAAGTTGGGTGAAGCAGCTAAAAAGAATAATTGGCCTGTGGACATCCGAGTTGGTCTCATTGGATCTTGTACTAACTCCTCATACGAAGACATGGGTCGCTGTGCCAGCATTGTTAAAGAGGTAAAGAAAAGCATTTACGGTTCTTTTGTACAAACATTTTACTTAATTCATATTCTAAATATTTATTATGTGTGTTACATAGACTGTATAAGGAAGGAGCAAAGACTAAATATTTAATTTTTACAGGCAATAAGCCATGGTCTGAAATCCAAGATTCCATTCAACGTAACACCCGGCTCTGAGCAAGTTCGCGCCACCATTGAGAGGGATGGCATTGCACAGACTCTAAGGGACTTTGGAGGCACTGTAAGTGAAATGACTATTCCTTCATTTTAACAATTTTTTTTTGTATATCATGATGATGATGATGATGATGATGATTGAGAAAAATATGTTCCTTTGAAATGTTTCATTAAATCAATTAAAAATTGTGTACTTACAAGTTTTTTTTTTTTAATTTTAAATTTATTATAAATACCCTGATTTCAGTAATGTTCAATTGTCTATTCAGGTACTAGCAAACGCCTGCGGACCTTGCATTGGACAATGGGACCGTAGAGATGTTAAGAAGGGCGAGAAGAATACGATCGTGACGTCATACAACCGTAACTTCACCGGACGTAACGACGCGAACCCGGCCACGCACTGCTTCGTCACCAGCCCCGAGCTGGTCACCGCTTTGTCTATTGCTGGTGAGCCATAGATTAATCCATCTTTATGATTTAAGCGTAAAGGCATATTTATAATAGGTCGGGCAAAAAGTTTCTTTGTATTTTGTTTGTATAAAATTGAAGAAAAATATATTTGGTTGTACTGTTTATATCTGGCTGGTTTTAATATTAATACATATAGGACACTAAGAAAAAGAAAAATAAAAAATCAGTATCCCGTCATTTTCCAGTTGTTTTTCTGTCCGCCAAAATGAGTGAATCTAACGAAGAAATTCGATACATTCTGAAGTTTTATTACAAAACAGCGAATAATGCGACTCAAGCCGCGAAAAAAAAGGTGACGTTTATGAACCCAATGCAGTGTTAGTAAGAGTAGCACAAAGTTGGTTCAAACGTTTTTACTCTGAGCTCGCTCTGGTCGCCCTCATACGGATAAAGTCATTTTAAAAAAGTGGAGCAAGAGCGGGTTATTTGTAGTTACGACATAGCCGAGGAACTTAGGATTGACCGCAAAACAGTTATGACCCATTTGAAAAAGTCTGGCTAAACAAAAAAACTCAATATTTGGGTACCACACGAGCTCACTGAAAGAAACCTAATGAATCATGTACTCATTTGCGATTCTCCATTCAAACGTAATGAAACCGAACCATTTTTTTAAAAGGTTGATTACTGGTGATGAAAAGTAGATCACTTACGACAAGAAAGTGCGAAAAAGATCATGGGAAAAGGGTAGTCAAGCTCCACAGACTGTAGCGAAACCTGGATTAACACGCAATAAGATGTTGTTGTGTGTATGGTGGGATTGGAAGGGCATCATTTATTATGAGCTTTTACGGCCTATCAAAACAATTAATAAGACTCAAGCAAGAAATTGAGATTGAGAAATTGATTTCATCATGATAACGCCAGATCACACAAATCGTTGGCCAGCCAGCAAAAATTGAGAGCTTGGTTGGGAACTGTTTATGCATCCACCATGTAGTCCTGACCTTGCACCCTCAGCTTCACCTGTTTCGGTCTCTGAATTACTTGGGTAGTGTTAGATTAACATCAAGAGAGGACTGTCAAAACTACTTGTCGTATTTTTTAAAATCAAAATCCCAAGATTTCTACAGCAACGAGATTATATCACTACCTACAAGATAACAACAAGTTATTGCACAAAATAGCATATATATATTATAATTAAAAGTAATTAAACTTTGAAAAAAATGGATTGAATTTGTATATAAAATACGAAGAAACTTTTTCCCCGACCTAATATTTACTAGTAGACGTCCAGCAGTCGAAATTCGACCGTATTTCATCAAATTTATAACTTTGTATTTAAGCATGCTATATTTCATTTTCAAGTCTCAGTTTATATATTTATAATCCATGCTTTCAACTCCACATTAATATATTATAAAACACAGACTATATCTAATATACAAAATATAAAATAAACGCTTTTTTGCCTTTGTGTAACACACTCCACAGACTACTGAAAAAGGAACATTAGAAATATGTTAGTAAGCATTTTGTTATCAATATTTTAAAATTATTTGGCGACAAATTCATTTATTTAAATGCTCAATAATAAAACAATTGCTGCTCTTACTTGATAAAAGTTTTTGAAGTTATACTTCTTTTGGGGTGTTTGGAAAAATTATTAGAATAATTTTTTTACGATGCGTGCGCACACCGACAGCTAAAAACGACACCATGAAATTGTTACGATGCGCGCGCACGCTGACACCTAAAAGCGACAACTTCAGTGGGTAATTGTCTCTCGATTTTTGATTGTTTTGTTACGCTAAAGAAGTATAACTTCCTACGTGCGTACATAAGTAGACACACTTTTATTTTAACATAAACTATGTTCGTTGACCAAGGGTATTTTATGTGGTGTTCTATTTTGTACAAATATGGTTCAGATTTATTAAAGTAACTTCATTATATTTGTATATCGTTACAGCCTACTAAAAGTGCTCTGCTGAATATATGCCATCTCAGTAGATTTCCACATATAGGTAGATATTTGCAGACAGGCAGTTTTTTTTGTTTTCAGTTATTATTAGGAAAACGCAGCTCCCCATCTCCAGGTTTGTTTCCCTTTGTTCCCTCTTACGACACCCACGCGACGATATGGAAAAGTGGATATCCTTATATCGCCAATACACGGTTCATTTCACTGCCAAAACATGTTTCAGGGCATTGTCAGATAAAAATTATCCATCCAATAAATTATAACCTGACTTAAAATAAAAGTAAAACAATTGAACAGACGAAAGATCAACGTAGAGAAAAATCGTCACTAAGTTGATCTTTCGTCTGTAACATATCTATTTAAATTTAATGCGTAATATAAAAACAGAATCATCTTCTGGTGAACGGTGAGTAAATTATTATATAATATTTTGACAGGTCGCCTGGACTTTAACCCACTGTCTGATGAACTTACGGGCTCTGATGGCAAGAAGTTCAAGCTGTCGGATCCCTTCGGTGATGAACTCCCTACAAAGGGCTTTGACCCTGGCCAGGACACCTACCAACACCCACCTGCTGATGGCAAAAGTAAGTATTGTACTGTAATAAAATAATCAAATCAAATGATCTTACTTTCTTAGAGCTCTAAACTTATAGTCTGTTCGCTTAGAAACGGTCGCCTTTGTGTCGCGCCGCCTTGGCACGTGCCGCATCTTGTCAAAGGCGCCGCCGCGATATCAAAGGTTGCCGCGTGCCTTTTTTATTAAATAAGCTACACCTTATTTAAAATTGAAGAAATAATCTACCTTTAAGAATGGAGAAATCGAAGTCCCCTTTTCTCCACCCTTAACTTACACAGAAACAACTAGCACAGACAAAAATGCATTCGGACACTGTACGGCACGGATTGGTCGGAATCATGTAAACCGACCTTTAAATCAAAGAATCTACTAACTGTTCCCTGCATATACATCTACGAAACAGCTAAATTTGTTAAATACCACAGTCATCTCTTCACCGCTAACGACAATACATTTAAACGAAAAATTAACCACGTGCCCTTAAAATGCCTGTGCCTAAGCTAGAACTGTTTAAAAAAAACTGTGCCTATATGGCACCTCTAATATATAACTCTTTGTCCAAAGGAATGACTGACTTGCCATATAAAAGGTTCTGTTGTGCCTTGCGAGAATTGTTAAACCAGGAGAGTTTCTATACTATTAAAGATTTTTTGAATAAAAACACTTGCTGATTTGATGCCCACTAAGACATCAGATCTTCCTTTTATTTCCTGTGACTTAGTCTGTTATAATAATTCAATAATTTATGTAATTGTAATCATGTAATACAAATAATTAAAATTTAAAAGATTGTAATAATTGTAATTCAATAAATGTTCTTATAAATTGTTATTCAAATAGTTCTAATAATTGCAATAATTTCCACATAATGACTTCGATACTGTGGTAATTTTTTTATTCCTTTCAGTGCTTTAAATTCGGTTTTTAGTTTTTGTTAAAAGTTTAATTTTTACTGGCAGCAGATCTGCTATTTCATTATTGATGAAGAATAGATGTAGGTGTCTACAGTGTGAGCATTGTACATTCTCTACGCAATCATCACACAATTATTGTGATTGGTGAACTCTGTGCTTGTTAGTCACCCTTATTCTGTATAAAAGCCTCTTTTCCATTTTCTAATCGAATAAATAACAACATACTCAAAAAAAATCTCTGGTGACAGAGGTGAATGTCGACGTTTCACCCACTTCCGACCGGCTGCAGCTCTTGGAACCGTTCGACAAGTGGAATGGCAAGGACCTCACCGACATGACAATTCTCATCAAAGTGAAGGGCAAGTGTACCACTGACCACATCTCAGCGGCTGGACCCTGGCTCAAGTACAGAGGACATCTCGACAACATCTCTAACAATATGTTTATCACGTGAGTGAAGTTATTTTAAAAATGTTCCATTTAAACTTATGACCCTGTCATCCACCACTTTCTGCCATCAAGGCAGCGTCACTTTCGAATGAAGTGAAATATTTGACAGATGTCATAGCGATGGAAATTAATTTGTTAGAAAAGTGTAAATTAATGGATTATAAATTTTTACGTGGTGGTCATGCTGCAGCTATATTAGTACTATAGTTGTAGCACGAATTTGTCGGCTCGACCGTGAAAGGACCCACGCTCTCACAGAATACCAACGTAAAATAGCAGCTTAGCGCTGCTATGTTTCGTATGGTGAGTTTAGATAACCGGAGACCCTTTTTACTGGAAACGAGGCATTCCATCTTAGTTCTCACAGGTGACAACAAATCTGCATTTTGATTCGTAATCGAGGATAGATGTAGATGTGTATGAGCCACAGCAAGCACTTACCATCAGGTGGCCTGTGTGCTTGCTTGTAATCCTTATCCTATATAAAAAACATTATATTTTATAGTAATTACATTAGAAATGGATAAATAAAACTACTACTATTTTATATGATTGAATTCAATGTTTATTAAAAAGATAATAGATAGATTTGATAGCTGCACTAAAATATAACACCTTGTTAATCAATAGCAAACTATGTTATCTTATGTAGTTTTTAATAAAAGTATATAGGTTTATAGTGATGATAAAGAAAAGAACTATAATCGAAATACAATTTCTCGAGGCGATGAAGTTTGGTGACAATCAAGAAGAACAATTTTATAATTTGCTTAGTTTTAGCAGGCCTGTCTCATTCCGCGCTTTAGGCATGAAAATATACCTACGCTTCGCGGCCCACTACATGAGGCTAATTGTGTGAGATTGTAACTCGCGTGTTCGAGCTACAGCGTGACTTATGTTAACAAAAATGTATTTTTGTCTTATTATAAGTATTTAGACACTTTTTTTAGTTTTTATTCAAGTATGGCTTCTCAAAAAGTCAAAAGGTACGGCATAGCATGCGGGAGCTTAAATAATAATGGGAATGTCGACTTTTCATTCTTTACTGTTCCTAAGGATACCGAAGGATAAGATATTATTATTTATAGGTAGATCTGTCTAATTAAGTACATTTTTACTGACGACATAGTTACAGATTTATTATTTGATTAGCAAACTGACCACAGCTTCGAAGTGTTTGTTTTTTTCGCGTATAATGCCAATAACAAATGATGGTGTAAATAGAGCTCCCAGCACTAGTGACTGCCTACTATTGCAAGTTCAGCGTATACTGGTCATTAATTTAACACTTGGTCGATAAAAGAAAGATATTGAAAATAGCAGCACTTCTCATTGCCATTCTTTCATTAATAATGAAAGAATGGCAATAAAAAGACGTGTGGCAAAAAGAATGTCGTCGCGTATCGCATATTTGTAAATAGCAAAAAATGTAAAACAGACAAGTTATGAAATTAAAAATTTTGTACAACCGACTTCAATATTTAATACGCATTATTAATGATAACTCCAAAACTACTAATCAGATCTTAATCAAATTTATATGGGATATATAAATTATAAGCACCAACTTTCAAATAAAAAAAAATCATCAAAATCGGTTCACCTAGAAAAACGTTCTGAGGTAACACACAAAAAAGTCGAATTGAGTACCTCCTCCTTTTTTTAAGTCGGTTAAAAAGGTAAGTAAAAAAATTATCTGAGTTTCAAAGACGTTTACGTTGTTATAATCTTAATTTTTCAGGATGTTGCATATTAACCTTCCTCACATTGAACAATAATGTTCTTATTATCAGCAAATTACTAATGCATTGCATAAGGCCTCGGTGTATTCTACTACCAAAAGGATTCAATTTGTTTTCTCACAACACCTAACCTACAGTAGGAGCGGCCTTAACGGCTTAATGATAGGCCTCTGTCCCTCTTGCTATCTGCGTGAAATTATAACCTACTATCACGAGGCGCCCCGGGCTACATACGAGGGTGACACTGAAAGTTCTTAGAAAATCAAAAACTGGACAAACTAGCAAGTTATTAGTTTTATTATATCTTTTCAAAATAGTGTCCATTTACATCAATACATCGCTGCATCCGATGGAACCACTGAGAAAAGCACTTTGCCCACTCGTCCTTAGGGCTCTCTTCGACGGCAAACTCTTAAAACGCAGCCACTGCTTCCTCGACGTCCATAAAACATTTTCTTCGAAGTTTTATTTTTATTTTCAGAAATAAATAAAAATCGCAATGTGCGAGGTCGGGGCTATAGGGCGGGTGACCCCATGAAGCAAATACAAAGAGGTGGTGTTTAATTGGATTTTACTATGTGCAACGCGTGACAATTTGCGGGGAGAGGGGATGTTAAGCCCCGCCCACTTTACACTATCTACATCTACTGGTAAATAGTAAAACTACTCGAATCGTTCCATATCGATGTTGCAATGTAGTTTAGCTACCTTGACGATAGATGGCAGCTTGGTCACAAAATGATTATAAACTATAAAAATAATATTTTGACGATTAAAATTTCTTTCAGAAATCTGAAAAGGCTTTAGCACCATAGACCACATACATACCCTTCGGCAAATTGTACAAAAGTCAGAGGAGTACAATTTGCCACTATGTCTGGCGTATGTGGACTATGAGAAAGCCTTTGATTCCGTCGAAATTTGGGCGGTGCTGCAGTCCCTTCAGCGGTCCCTTCAAGTGGACTGTCGGTATATCGAAGTGCTGAAGTGCTTGTACAGTAGGGCTACGATGGCTATCCGAGTACAGAACCAGAGTACGAAACCTATCCAATTGTAGAGAGGTGTAATAAAGGGTGACGTCATATCACCGAAACTCTCCACCGCTGCATTGGAAGACGTTTTCAAGCTTCTGGACTGGAAAGGATACGATATCAACATCAATGGCGAGTACATCACTCACCTTCGATTTGCCGACGATATAGTCCTTATGGCAGAATCGCTGGAGGACCTAAGCACTATGCTCAATGACCTCAATAGTGCTTCCCAACGGATAGGTCTTAAGATGAACATGGACAAAACAAAGATCATGTTTAATGTCCATGTCACACCTATGCCGGTAGTTGTTGGGAGCACTAAGCTCGAAGTTGTTGATGAGTATGTTTACCTGGGACAAATAGTTCGACTAGGTAAGTCCAACTTCGACCGAGAGGTCAATCGACGGATTCAACTCTGTTGGGCAGCGTTCGGGAAATTACGGCACATCTTCTCGTCGGGTATACCTCAAAACTTGAAAACGAGACTGTACAACCAGTGCGTGTTGCCGGTGATGACATACGGAACTGAGACGTGGTCCTTCACTGCTGGCCGGATGAGGAAGCTCAAGGTCGCTCAGCGAGCTATGGCGAGGGCAATGCTCGAAGTTTCTCTGCGTGATAAACTCAGAAATGAGGATATTCGCAGTAGAACCAGAGTGACCGACATAGCCCAACGGATTAGTAAGCTGAAGTGGCAATGGGCCGGCCATATAGCTCGAAGAACCGACAACCGATGGGGAAGAAAGGTTCTCGAGTGGCAGCCTCGTACCGGCAGGCGAAGTGTTGGGCGTCCCCCCGCTAGATGGAGTGACGACCTGGTAAGATATGCAGGAAGTCGATGGATGCAGGTGGCTCAGGACCGTTCTTTGTGGCATTCCTTGGGGGAGGCCTATGTTCAGCAGTGGATTTGTGAAGGGCTGTAATGATGATGATGAATGATGAATGCAAAACAAATTTCAGCACCTTCGTATGATTATTTTACCAATACTGAAGTGTACCTTTATATTTTTAGTTCACATGACACAAAGTGTCGCCATCTAGTGTCGAATATATTTTGTTATATTTGAAAGCCGACGCAAAGAGATTTTTCTACAACTATTTTAATAAATTTTGTGTAAAATGTGTAAAACAAATGAAATGTGATGCCATCCATAGCATCAGAGCGTCTATCTGAGTAGATTTTACATGATAAAATACAACACTTCATCCTTTTCTTCTTAATACTATGAAAATATGTACACCGATTTGCGATTATCAACACATAAGCACACAGGACGAATGCTGACAGCCCACTATGATGACGTCAGGACCTACTTAGAATCACAATGCACAGTTGCTTATGCCGTCTCCTCTTTGTATTTGCTTGATGGGTTACCCAGTAATTCCACGTTTGACGTCGCCAAGTAGTCAATTGTTTGCTTGGCGATGTGCAACGAGGCGTTGTCGTAGTGAAGGAGGATCCTACTGCGAGGTCATTTCTCGCGAACCGTTTCCAAGACAAGTGGCAAATAATTGTTAGTGTACTACTCTGCAGTAACTGTTTTTCGATCCTCTAAAACAATTGTTGCGTAATGACCTGTCCTTCCGAAGAACGATGCCACCATATATTTTCTCAAGCTTTGACCTCTCTTCACTTTAGTTGGCAACTCCTCGGAAGGAAACACCCAGACAGCAGACTGTCTCTTAGTTTCAGGATCATAACAATAAATCCAGCTTTCGTCACCGTAAGTATGTCGAACACAGCATTTGAATCACCTCCGTTAAATCTCTCAACCATTTCACGACACCAACCAACACGACGGAGTTTTTGGGCCTCTGTCAAATTATGAATCCACCATCCATGTATCCACCGGGCACAAAGCTTCCTGGCCGCTAAATTTTCATGGAGGATTTTGTGCACTTGATTCATGCCAATGCCTAAGCTTGTTAGAATCTGCTGATAAGTCACTCTTTTGTCAGTCTCTGTCATACGCCGCACAACACTGATGTTATCTTCAGTCGTCGCCGTAGAAGGCCCTCCGTCACGCAGATCATCGGTGAGTTTAGTGCGACCACGTTTAAACTCATTAAACTAGTTGTAAACAGTGGCACGAGATGGGGCTTCATCGTGAAAGACCAATTGAAGTCTATCATAACTTTCTTGTTGACTTAAATGACATCGAAAGTCAAAAAAAAATCATTGTACGATAATTTTGTCGCGTTAAATTCATGCTGACGTGACACAGACAATTTTCAATTTGCCGCCAAATCGTAAACAAATGAGAAATCAATAAAATACATACACAATACTATTGGCAAACAGTTTCATTTTCGAAATTTGAACGTATGTTTTATTATATCGTTTACAAGTGACCAGTTCTAAAAACTTTCAGTCTCGCCCTCGTACGCAGTCGAGGCTAGCGCGTTCTTATTGAATGTTAAAGTTTTTAACACTGTTTACGTAAAGTTTTTTGTAAATACTTCTTGAAATAGTTTTTGTTTAGTATATCTAGTTGTACGATAGTTTTAATTTAATTTTAAAATAATATATGTATATCTATTTAATAAATTATAATGGCAAAATATCGTTCCTACTATAATTGTTGCGTGGATGGAAGCTCAATGTGCAAACAAAAGTATTCAGATATATTATTTTTTAAGTTACTGAAGGATAATGTAAGGTGAATTTACTTAATTTTTTTTTGTTTGATAGGTACTTATAGCGAAAAAAGAATTAAGTAATAATTTAACTACAGAAATAATACCTAAGTACTTTATTACAAAACTTAGTTGAAATTGACTTCACTATTCAAGTACCTACCTACACCTACGGTATTTACATACCTATACCTACTTGTCTTTTGTAATTAAAATATTTTAAGTTATAATAACACAATATACCGAAATTGAAACTTTGTTTACAAAATTTTTAACTAAGTATAATATGATCACATTTCTGTTAGGAATCGTATTTAGGGTTTATTAGTTGTTTACACTATCACATCTACCTATTTCTTACGAGCCGAGCATCGCGATGCCTGACGAATGGCCTTGCAAGTTGCATGTGTTGGACATCACAGAACTCACATAGTAGCGAAAATATGGTCAGTCGATCATAATCAGAATACGTATTTCATCTAAGTAACTTACCATTTCACAATGTATTTTTCTTACTCTTTATTGATAGGCCTTAGTAACCACGGAAAGTCCGCCGTGACGTAGGAAGGGGAAAAGATGTAAAGTAATACGGACACTCGCGCGCACTAGCTTGGGTGCGCGATTTATCTAATTAATAATAATTATGTAGGCTATTACAACGTCGGCAAGCAGTCGACATAAAATTGCAACTTCTGTACGCAGTACTATTATTTATTCTGTGGTGATACAGACTCGCACGCAGACTTAAGGTGCATTTGATTTAATATTACGCGAACCACAACAATCGGTAGACTATTTTAACGAAGGTCGTATCCGAGTGTAAGTAGTGTGCAAAGTATTATGAACATTAGCGGCGTAGTAATTAGGTTTAAACTCGCAAGTTTGCTATCAGAGAGTGATCCTTCTGTTCTTGTACTATTATTTATTCATTATTTTAGTCATTTATTTGTTGTTTCATTGTCAGCCTGTAAAAGTCGCAACACCAGCCATTTCCAATCTTTGTCGCTATCTCCCGTCACTAGCCTAGGCATTTTTTACTCTTGACTTAAACGAGATTGCTGTGGATAGATCTTTCTAGCATTTTCGTTAGTCGCTCTTTCAACTTGTACGCTGTGCAGTTATATCCTTTTTACGGCTGTTATTATATTTTACCACGCCTGGGGTTGCCTGGAAGAAAATGCCTAAAGGCAAAAGTTACGCCCTCTGTAGCCCTTTTAATTAGGGTGATACCGTGATAGCCTATTAAATTCCACTGCTGAACATAAGCCTCCTCAATCAATATTAAAATGTTATATATATATAATTGTGAATAAGATTTACGACTAGTGTAAATAAAGGATTAAAAATCTGTTTCCACCCGCAGCGCAACGAACGCGGAGAACGGCGAGCTGAACAAGGTGCGCAACCAGCTGACGGGCGAGTGGGGCCCGGTGCCGGCGACGGCGCGCGCGTACAAGGCGGCGGGCACGCCCTGGGTCGTGGTGGGCGACGAGAACTACGGCGAGGGCTCCAGCCGCGAGCACGCCGCGCTCGAGCCGCGCCACCTCGGCGGCCGCGCCATCATCGTCAAGTCCTTCGCCAGGTGCGTGCGGCTCCGGGCTCCGGCACTAGTATGTGCTCACGTACAGTGGCGGGTGTGTGGTGGGCGACGAGAACTACGGCGAGGGCTCCAGCCGCAGCTGCAACAATTTTGCTTATGGTGGAAGTGAGCTTCATCTGAAAAGATGATTTTTCGGTAAAAATGCTCATCTTCGTTCAAGTCGGTTTCGGCCCATTGAGCAAACGGCTTCAGCTCTTGCACTAATTGAACATTGTACATATTCATACCAAGATATCTATGCAAAATTCTTCACAAACAGTGCGTGAAATGGTTAATTCTTGAGAACACTCTGAGCAATAGCAGCGATGTTTTCGGTTGATCGCACTAGACGAGGTACGTACACGGGTTGACTTATTCAACCATGATCCAGTTTCACTAACTCTCTTCACAAATTGATCTACAAACTGCGTTTTTGTCAAATGTTTTTCGTAAATTTCTTACAGTAGAAGACTCACCACTTTGGAAATGTTTTTAATATTTCCCAACTTTGTTCAAGCGAAAAGCGACCCATTTCATAAATGTCAAACATAAAACTAACTTTATGTCACATCGGAAATGTCATCAAACCTTCCAACCTCCAAATAACCTATAGTTCCAATTCCAAACGTTAGATGGCCCATCCTGTATATAAGACGGAAAACGTGTGAATATTTCATTCTCAGGAAGCAAACTTAAATTCTGATTATTTGGAAGAACAAACTTTTGAAAAACAATAATTTTGAAAACCGCCTTCCACATTATTAATATTTATTTCACTCTGAATTTTTTTCTTCCGCAGAATCCACGAGACTAATCTCAAGAAGCAAGGTCTGCTCCCCCTCACGTTCGCAAACCCGGCCGACTATGACAAGATCCGACCGGACGACAAAATCTCGCTGCTTGGCCTTAAAGACCTCGCGCCTGGCAAGGTAAACTTATTTTAACCTTTACTTCTTTTTTAACTTGAACATTAATTAAAAACGAGAATGTAAAAAAAAATACTACAGTCCGCAACTCCACCGTTCGGAGATGAGCGTTCATATTTATTTTACCGCGGTAACTATTATATTCCTGTGGTGAAAAGTATCTTAGGTGTTCATTCAAAATAACTAGTAAAATAAAAGGTTCATATAGTATCTAGATTATGAATTTAAGAATTCTGGGTATTTACGGGGTCCTTATTAATTGTGAAAAATAGCATGTGTGTAGGTCTTTATAGTTTTTGTGTTATGTGGTGTAAAAAATAGCGCAAAATGGTTCGTGTAATTATACACACTGCTTTTTTCAACTGTTCCATATTAAGTCGGTATATAATAAATGGTTTTGACAGCTACTCTGTATTGATTGAGTAAGAGAATAAATGGACGTTTATGGTTTCTATATGTTTAAATAAACCCTTCCTGTATTTCTTGAAAAGGATGCACATTTTATATCTACATAGATAGATATTATTTTATAAAAATATTATTACTGCTTACAATCACAGTCTATCAAAAGTCCACTGCTGAACATTAGCCCTCCCCCATAGATTGTCTCATAGTTTTTGCTGGCGACGCGGCGACTGTAGTTTTTTAAAGATTCTGCTGCTCATCTCTTAGTTCAGTTTCCCTCTGTAAAAATATATTTGATATTTATATTATTGATGCTTCACTAAGTATTCCCTATTTGTTTATAGCCCGTCGATTGCGAAATCAAGCACAAAGATGGTAGTGTGGAGCGCATCAAACTTAATCACTCGTTGAACGAACAACAAATTTCCTGGTTCAAAGCTGGTTCAGCGCTGAACAGGATGAAGGAAATCGCTGCCGGCAAGTGAAGGCTTGCAAACCAACCATAGATCATACTTGCACTGGATTTAATTTGTAGAGAATTTTTTATGAGCCATAGACAAGAGTAAGATAATTTTTAATATTAATTCGTCAAAATCAATTAACAGTATATTGTATGTACTTGTTGATGATAGCCATACTTTAGCGTTTACAATAGAAACCAGTGCAATAAATACTATAACACTTAGTTGAACAAGTTTTTTCTGTCATATCGCATTTCGATACTTAATGTTCAGACAATACGTGGCTGCGATAATGAATCTTGTCGATAGTTTGTAGTACAAAAGATATTTGAAATTAGCGAATAAGATCCAAGTCTTTTCTTTTCATCAGTTTGTATGTTGTTAATCAATATTTGTTTAGTTTTTAATTATTATTTATGTAAATACCAATATTTACCAACTATAAATAAAATTATGAAGTTAATGTGTTGCTTTTTATTCTTAAAATTTATTTTGCCTTACAAAAAGTGTAAGGGGCTTGTGGGCTACAACTAGAACTTTAAGGGTAAGTTTGAGATTAAATTACATTTTTTTTAATAACTTACGGCTCTGGGTAAGGTCTCTTCTAATATTTGTTTTAGTTTACAACAGTCGTAGAGCCACGCGGCAGCTTTTGTCGGATGGCCGGGGTGGTACCACGACCTCACAGAATACCAACGTGAAGTAGAAGTTTACTTCTGCATTTCGCCTGGTGAATGCAGGTGGCCGAAGGCCCAATCCCCATCCCCCCCCCCCCCCATCAACACGGTAGCGAAATTAAAAGGAACACTACCCCAGGAGTGTACCAGCATCACTGGAGAATCCCTCGCTGGGCGTCCACGCCCAAGCTACTCTACTTTTTCTAAGTAAGGGTGCTCAGGCTGCCCCGCGTACTCCGGAGGGAAGGGGGGGGGGGGGCAAAATTCCACTCAAGACGAAAGCTGCTCGGGGCAAGCGGAGCAATAAGACAAAGGCAACCCCTGCCACGCTTTCCGTGAATTTTTCTGGCCTCGGCAGTCTTGAAAGTATCGACCTGTCCATCCTATGGCTGCGCGTAGACAGCGACGACATCCCCGCGTCTACGGGTGCCTCTATAGGTCCCATAGCTGTAATGCCGACACAGACCGACTCATCGACCACGTCCAAATGGCTGCAGACTCCGTGCTACAACAAACAGGTCCCATCCGCAGAGATCGTGATACTCGGTGATTTTAACGCCCACCACACTGAATGGCTTGGTTCCCGGTTAACCGATCATGCGGATAGATCTGTCTATGACTTTGCCTTGGCATATGGTCTAACACAACTGGTTACTTCGCCTACGCGGATCCCAGATGTGGAGGATCATGTACATTCCCTGTTGGACCTTCTGCTGACCTCTCATCCGGACGGATATCAAGTCTCCGTCGATGCTCGTCGATGTCCCTCTGGGCTTTTCGGACCATTGTCTGATCCGGAGTACGGTGCCACTCACGCTCCCATCGTATTTGCGATCTGCAGCTTGCCGCCGTCTTTGGCACTATAAGTCGGCCGATTGGGACGGGATGCGGTCTTTTTTTGCATCCTACCCTTGGGGGCGGGTTTGCTTCTCGCCGGATGATCTGAACGTTGTTGCTAATTCTGTCGCTGATGTGGTACTTCAAGGAATGGAATTATTTATTCCATCATCTGTGGTGCCTATCGGAGGCAGAAATCAGCCATGGTTTGGTCACTCCTGTAAAATTGCATTACGCTATAAGCAGGAGTGCTACCGGGCCTGGGCTGACGCATCAACGTCCTGGGATGTAAACACCAGCGCTCTTAAAAAGAAGTATAATTCCACCTGCAGGTCCTTCAAAAGTGTCATTGCCAAGGAAAAGTCAGAGCACATCGACAGAATTGACGAGAAAGTAGTTCGCCTCCCTTCGGGAACACGTGCATTCTGGTCTCTCGCCAAGGCTTTCCAAGGGAACTTCTGTCAGCCATCCCTGCCATCTCTGCACAGGGTGGAGGACTCATTGGCCCATGACGCAAAGGAGATAGCTGATCTGCTAGGCTCTCTTTTTGCTTCCAACTTGATTCTAGATGACGGGGGGAACACACCGCCGACCATCCCGCGGTGTGAGTGATCCATGCAGGAAGTGCTGTTTACACAGCGCTCGGTGCGTAAAGTACTCCTCTCCCTGGACGTCAACAAGTCGAGTGGGCCTGATGGAGTCCCACCTATTGTGCTGAAGACGTCTGCTCCGGAGCTGGCATCGGTTTGAACGCGTCTTTTCCGTTACTCCCACTCCCTAGGCGTAGTCCTGAACTCATGGAAGACAGCTTTGGTGCACCCGATCCCCAAAAAAGGCGACCGCTCAGATCCGTCCAACTACAGGCCTATCGCTATCACCTTCTTGTTCTCCAAAGTAATGGAAACCATTATTAACAGACAGCTCATGCGGTACCTTGATGATCACCAGCTGATTAGTTACCGCCAGTACGGTTTCCGTCGAAGTCGCTCACATGGTGATCTAGGTTACCTAACTCATAGATGGGCGGAGGCAGTGGAGTCCAAGGAGGAGGCGTTGGCCGTTAGTTTGGACATAGCGAAGGCTTTCGATCGGGTTTTGCATAAAACGCTTCTTTCGAAGCTGCCTTCCTATGGGCTTCCCGAGAAATTGTGCAATTGGATCACCAGTTTTCTTCATCGGAGCATCAAATTTGTAGTAGACGGTGCATGCTCCGATTACAAGCCCATTAACGCTGGTGTTCCGTAAGGCTGCGTGCTATCACCAACGCTGTTTCTTCTGCATATCAATGATATGTTGCAAACCAGTAACATTCATTGCGTAGATATGTTGCATCTCTTTGCGTATTTTATCGCATCTATCACGGGGAGTGCTGTGAGGAATTGTTCGGACTAATTCCAGCCGCTCAATTTTACCATCGCATATCGCGACAAAACTCGCGATAACATCCATTCCATCTGGATGATTGGCGTTAGCGGTCCACCACTGTGCGATTTAGAACAAGTTTGCTCCCTCGCACAACTTTCTTGTGGAATCGATTACCACCAGCGATTTTACCGGACCGATACGACTTAGGGACCTTCAAGAAAAAAGCCTACTCCTTTTTAAAAGGCCGGCAACGCATCTGCAATTCCCTTGGTGTTGCAGTTGTTCATGGGCGGCATTAGTCACTTACTATCAGGTGAGCCGCATACTCGTTTGCCCCTGCTCCTATAAAAATAAAACTCTCAACCAAGTTTTTACATGCCTAGCGTAGAAAATGAGCTCTCTGATGGCGCACCGCTTATAGGAAGAGTTGCCAGAATTTTCAGCAGTCCTTTTATATTTGGATAGAGATCATCGTCGCAAACTTCGATTGTAGAAACACTTAGGAAATTTTGTATCAGTACCTATTTTCTTTGAGCTCCCGTTTCCACTTTGAAATCCATAGCTGATACTCTGTAACGAGAGTGGCAGCAGGAACAGATTATAATATATTCAGATTTTGGCATAAAAATGCCTAATCCGAACAGGTTCATCGTATCCGCAGAAAGTCGTTCCTGTAGGTCAGTCATTATGCTATCTATCAGTATTTGTGTATCGCCAGCAACGCAAAATCAGAAATTTGCATTTAGAGAAACGTAAAATTAGGGGCTTTTTAGGTGCTAATTAGGTGCCAAGTTTAAAAATTAGGTGCTCTAAAACTTTCACCGCAACGAACTGTTGAAATTTGCGTTGCTAGCAAAACGTCTCGCTAGCAACGCAATGAAGTTATTAGATATACGATAAATATTAATAGCAAGGAATTAAGTGCTAATTAGGTGCTGCAAGTATATAGGCAATAACAAGGCGCCCCTAATAAAAATAAAGTCGTTATTCAGAACATAGCAGATGCAAAATTCAGGTTTTGTGAACATAAAAATAGAATCAAAATTGCTTTTAAAAAAAGCTCAAATTAGGTGATAATTAGGTGCCAAGTTTAAAAATTAGTTGCTCTAAAATTTTCACTGCAACGAACTGTTGAAATTTGCGTTGCTGGAATATTGACATAGTTACTTCTGCAACGGCTTCGGCGCTGCGGGGAGTGCGGCTCCCTCGCCCTTGTGTAGTAAATCACAAGCACGCATGCTCACCTCTGCAGCTTCGGCTTATTGGTCACCTTCGGCGACCAGCCTCAGCATCTATGGCTCGCACGGATGCCTGCGTTTTGCCACAGCGGGCGGGGGCTGCTCTCCCTCCACGCCTACGGCTTTACAAAAACACTCGAGGGGTAGGGCAGACACGACTACGTGGAGTCGGGGCGTTCTGATTCGGTTTTAGTACAGATTCGACCTATCTTATCTATAATGTATAACTGATAAAGAACAAAAAATGCCATTCATACCTTATAGTAAGGTAATGATGGTCCTGGGCCCGATAATTCCCAGAATATTACTGTCATATACATCCGACCCCAATAATCTTTCAACACTTAATTATCACTTAATTCCTTGCTATTAATATTTATCGAATATCGATTATCGTCACTGCGTTGCTAGCGATACGTTGAAATTAAATAAAACAAGCTGTATGTGAGGTATTAACAAAATTCTTTTTTTATTTGAAAGGCCCACACGGTCACATTAAGTGTGGAATATAACATCGTTGAAATGCCCGCCTCGGCTTCTTACAGTGGCACGGATCCGAGTGATCCAATTTTCAATGACTCTACTGCATAGATCCGGCTCAATTTCAGCGATGGCCAGTTATGTTTACCTTTAGGGCATCAGTCGATTGTGGTTTGTTTGCATAGACCTGCGACTTCAAGAAACCCTACAAGAAAAGTCTAGCGGGGTCAAATCGCAGGACCATGGTAGCCAATTCACATCACGCTTACGACGCACGAGAGATAAGCTTACCCTGAAATAGCTCATGGAGAAAGTCAATCGTGGAGTCCGCTGTGTGGCACGTAGCGCCATTCTGCTGGAACCACATGTCGTCTAGGTCCATATGATTCAATTTGGGCGATAAGAAATTGGTTATCATCGTTCTATAGCGCTCGCCGTTGATGGTGACCGCCTCACCAGCGTCATTTTCGAAAAAGAACGGACCAATGACACCGCCGGCCCAAAATCCATAATAAACGGTAACTTTTTGAGGATGCATTATCACCTGGTGAACCTCACGTGGGTTAGTGTCGTCGTATATACCTACGGCAATTCTGCTTGTTAACACAGCCATTCATCCAAAAATGCGCCTCTTCGCTAAAAATTATTTTTCGGCCAAAATTGGTGTCCGCAGCCCATTTAGCGCAAACGGCGTTGTCTCTATGGTCATGAACTTTAAACTCCTGGGTCAGTTAGATCTTGTACGGATGTAGGCCTAAGTCCCGACGCGAAATTCGCCAAGTTGAAGTCTTCGAAAGGCAAAGTTCTGGTGCACAGCGAAGAATCGACTGCATCGGGTTCTGCTGTACACTTTCACGAACCGCGACGATGTTCTCGGTCGATCTCGCGTTCCTTGAATTTACGGGAGTTGGCTGATTGTTTACCGAACCGGTCATTTCAATTTTGGCCACCATACGAAAACAATGCAGCCGTGCCGACCCTACCAAGTATCGGCCAATCGCAATTACCTCCATACTCTAGAAGATTATAGAGCGTATATTGAATGCCCGCTTAACTGCATACGTAGAACAGAATGACTCCTCAGTGACCGACAGTATGGGTGAAGTCGGTCAGCTGGGGACCTTCTAGCGTATGCTAGCGAGGCAAGGCACTCGAGAACAGTGGGGAAGCACTTGGTATTTCCCTTGATGTTTCGAAGGCCTTTGACGGAGTTTGGCACGCTATCCTCTTGGGTAAGCTTCCAGCGTACGGCTTATCCCCTGCTCTGATTGACTGGGTAAAGGACTTTCTGAGTGAATGGTCTCTCTGGATCATCGTCGATGGCTGCTCATCTGATGCTGTATGTGTTCCTCAGAGATCCGTCCTCTCCGCAACTCTCTTCCTGCTGCATACAGATCATTTTCTTATGACCCGTATCTAGACGACAGCAGTCGTGGAGAGATACCAACCAAGTCCTTGCGGGCCAGTTGGGATCAAACCCAGTCCGAAAAGGAAGCTATGGTTGAGCGTGTGAATCTCACACTACAGTCAGTCTCCGAATGAGGCGATGGCAGTCTTGTGAAATTCAACGCCTCTAAAACACAAGTGTGTCTTTTTCCGAAATGTATCACTGTAATACACCGACCGCCTTCAGGTGTTGGGGGTTGAGATTACCTCAAACTTAAACTTCGGGCTGTTCATTAAGTCCAAGGCCATTGCAGCTGCAAGGAAGCTAGGAAAGCAAAGGTGCGTCGGTATTTCACGCCGGGACAGCTGCTTACTTTATATGAAGCCCAAGTCCAGTCGTGCATGGAGTATTGCTGCCATATATGGGCTGGTGCTGCAAAATGCCACCTAGCAGCTTTGGAATCAAATGAATTTGGTTAAAACCAAACTTACAACCCTCAAACACAAGCGCAAAGTAGCAAGCCTTTCGGTTTTTTACGGGCTGCATTTCGGAGTTTGCGCAGGAATTGCATAATTTAATTCTACACTCTCTCTTTCACCATCAGACAGTTCGGCCAGTCTACACCCTTTCGTTGTTGACTTACCACACACATTCGAACCAAACGGTTTGCTACATCATTCGTCAAGCATACAGCAAAGGAGTGGAATAAGTTGCCAGCATCTGTCTCTCCATCCAAATACAATGTGCGTGTCTACGAGGTAAGAGTGAACAGGCTTTTGTTAAGTCAGTGCGCTTTACCATCTTAGGCTACATCACCACTTACCATCAGGTGGGATTGTAGTTAAGCGCTGGTTTAGAATAGTAATAAAAAAAGGTGCCCCGTTTATTTACACTTACCATACCAAACACGACATCATTAACCGGTTCAGTGCGGATGGTACGCCAGACGTGCCATCGATTACTATTGTGTGGCGTATGACACGCGAGTCGTGTCTTTTTAAAAATCGTTATAACTCGCTCAAATTGCTTTTTTGGAAAATTTATCCAGAACAAAATATTCATTATTTTGCAAGTAGTTCATGCCTGCGGCTTCGTTTCTGGATATTTTGAAAATTTGAAATTTTTAGGGGTTGACAACCTTTTTTTAAATAGTCTAATAAGTAACAAATAATAGCACTCATAGCGATCGCTCACAAACTCGAGTTGTAAAAAAAATTCTGGGAAACAAGTCTCCTGTTAAAAAAAAACAATGCGTTTGTCTTATTGTTTAATTTTGCTTAAAATGGTTGAACTGCCGTATGAACGAATAGACCCACGAAGTACCATGTGCTCTTGTGATATGGTATAAGGTTTATTTTTGCTTGAAACCGTTCATGCATAAAAAAAGTTCGCTAATAAATAGTCTTTTGTCAATCCGCCGCGCTATAGCGCCGGCGTTTATTTCCTTTTGAAAACACTTGTTTTGCTATTCTTACTAATTAGACGTTTTCAGATCGGCTTTACTTTTACATTTGTATAACCTCCTATTTTGAAACTGATTGCTCAACGGCAACCGTTAGTAACCGCTACAAAGCTGATTGCTTCGCTACTTTGCTATGCTGTTAGCTTGCTAGGTTTATTATTAGGTGAAAATTTAATTTAATAAGGACCAAGGTTTTCCAGGGTGATTTAGCTGTACCTACTTATATATAAATGATTTTTTTATTAAACAAAAAAAAATAGCTTTTGTACTATTTTTTTTTTGTTTGTAATCTTTGCATAAAAAAAGTCACTTACTCTCAATTTCAAAGAAAACGCGTAAAAAAAACACGTAGTTACCCACTAAAAACAATTATCCTTCCGTTTGTAACTGATGTTCGATGTCAAATAAAGTTAATTAGGTCTAAACAAGTAAAAAAAAAAACCATAAAAAAGAACATTACTCTTACACATGGCTGATGGCACAATAGGCGTGTCAGCAGTCTGTGGCGCATGACACGATAAGCGTGTCATGAAATATTTGTTCGCCGCCACAGCTAAAAGTTGCCGAAAATTGGTGCCAGAACGAATCGGTTAAGCTGCTATTTTACACTGCTATTCTGTGAGATCATGGTTCTTTTCCAGTCGAGCAATCCTTTCATACTACAACTATACCACTAATTTAGCTACAGCATGGCTCTACCATGTAACAACACGTAGAAACAAACCACTGAGGTATTGTTTTGTGTATACTCAATGTCATTGTGTAACAAAAAACTTCACCTGTGTCAACTAGCGACATCTGGTGAGCGGAAGATTATTATCTCATTGAAAAGATAGGATAAAAATGCAATATAAATGCATAAAATGGAAAGGTCAAATAAAAACCCCCCTTTTAACTTTTTGAAGCTTGTTAAAATCACCCAACTAATAAATGTTATTTTTAATATTTTTTCATAAATGTTATAATAAAGAGTAAAAGTAGTGTAAAACTATTTTATTTAGCAACAGTTTAATCTTCATTGTCTTCATTATCACTGTCTGCATTGATGTTGAAATAGCGTAGTTCATATGCATCATGAGCAGATGCAACCACACGGAGCCAGTCTCGCAGGTTGTTCTTCTTGAGGTATCGCTTGGTTAAGTATTTAAGGTACCTCTTAGAGAATGGAATGTCTGAAAAAATATAAGAGTAAAAATATAAGAACAGGGGATGAAAATTACCTCCTTAAACTACCATCCCATTCTTCCCCACAGAAATGTATAATTATTTATTTTTTAGTAAGTTGTTTATTTTTTAGTAAGTTATTTATTTTTTAAATGCAAAATCATAAACTCAATTTTGTACCTTAAAAAAAAAGGATGTTATCTCTACAAATTACATTGTACAGTGTTATCTTTGTAACTAAAACCGTGTTAACTTAATCAAAAATATAAATGCACATATCAAGTATAATATGAACAAGAGTTGGTTATGATGCAGCAAGGACGTAGCATATTATATCTCTGTATAACCTATTTTCTATGTAGCTTTTTGATGGATTGGGATAAACTTTCCAATATGGACCATCGATTTAAATGTCCATATTTTTTTTTGTAGATAGTACTCACTAAAAGAAAACATTTTGCAGTTTCAATATGCGGAAATGCGTACTTTTTGAGAAAAAAATTATTGAAAATCATATATTTTTGCAATATTTATGTCAATTCCTACTGTAAAACTGACGCTATTTTGTATTGACATTGTCATTGTCAGTACGGATGTTGATTCTTTCCGAAAAAGATCGATTTGAATCGTAAGCTGATGTATCGATTCACAAAAAATATGATTTCTAAAATATTGATATTTTTTCATATTTGCATTTACAATGTAAATATAAATCCATTTTATGAAAAACCAGAAATATACCATAGTAAATAATCTCTTATTGAAATTTGTTTTATTTTAATTTATTTATTTTTATTAGGGCAGATAACAAATAAAATAGGTTAGGTTCAACTTATGTCAAAGAATCGAATTGATTGACCCCGACTCCACCGGGTGCGAGTCTGTCCTACCCCTAGAGTGGTTATATAGAGTCGGAGGCGCATAGGGGAGCAGCCTCCGCCTGCTGTAACAAATGCCTGCGATTTGTTACGGAAAGGCGTAGTGATTGTTCTCCCGCAGCACCGGAGACGTTGCAGTCTCAAAATAGACACAAAAACCCCTTTTAATCAGTCCCCCTATTTTATGTCCCATGAAGGGGATTTTGTTCTCATAAAATGGATTTATATCTCCATTATAAATGCAAACATGAAAAAATATCGAAATTTTAGAAATCAATTTTTTTTGTGAATTGATACATCAGCTTACGATTCGCATCGATTCATAAAATCGATCTTTTTTGGAAAGAATCGACATCCCTACTGACGATGACAATGACAATACAAAATAGAGTCAGTTTTACCATCGGAATTGACATAAATTTGCAAAAATAACTGATTTTCAATAATTTTTTTCTCAAAAAGTACGTGTTTCCGCATATTGAAACTTTGCAAAACGTTTTCTTTTAGTGAGTACTATCTACAAAAAAAATATGGGCATTTAAATTGATGGTCCATATTGGAAATTTTAACTTTGGATTGGGATAACTATAATTACCACTTATTATGTCGGATTGAAATAAAAAGGTATATTTAGTTTGTATCAGATACTAATGTATTATTGGTTTTAATCTTAGTTAGCTATAGTAAATACCTGCATTTAACAACAAAACTACCTATATAGCAGTCTTCACAAAACAATATTAGTCTAGCTTTAATATGTAGGTACATAAGCTATTAATAGTTTAATTATCAGTCAAAATATTCTAAAATAAATTAATTTTTTTTCAAATTCAAAATATTATTGTACATCAAGTGTTACATTTGACATTAATTTAAAATATGATGTATCTTACAACTTAACCACCCCTTTTTAAGTATAACAATAATAGGTCTGTGACTTAAATAACTATATTGATCATAATGAATATAGTTTTAATTACTAACTCGAGTTGACTAATCACTACATTGTACTTGAAAAATGCATGAAACAATTAGTTTACCCCGAATCAAATAGGTTTGATGTAGGCTATTTGTGTTAAAATAGGTTTGACTGGGTTCAGTGAACTTAGTAAAACAACTTATTTTTCTTTTCGTCATGACTTGTGACTAATACCTGAATATCCTTATTTATTACCAGTTGAAGTTTCTTGCACTGGCAATTATTAATAGTAGCAGTCATAGTCGATGAACATCAAGACGTTTAAATTAAACCATGAAAAAAAACCTTATTACCTTATAAATGATATAGATCAGTAATTTACATGAACTAATTCTTTTATAAATATTTTAAAATCCCAGGATATCCTATTTTAGGTTATGTGATCAACAAGACAAAAAACTACATAAATAATAACAATTAGCAACTAAATATGATTGTATGACTATACCTGCACTGACGGCAACTTTCGTCTTGTCTCTAGCGACAACAACGTGATTTCCTAGGTTATTCGTTTTACCCTCAACTTTAACATGCTCTTTCAAATATTTCTCAAAGTTACCGACGTCCAAGATACTGTCCTCAGCAGGGTGTGTGCAGTCGATAGTGAACTTCAAGTTAATTTTTCGTTTCATACCCTTGCCGCGGATTTTGCCACCCTTGACTCCCTTCTTACCAGTTTTTTGGTGTAATTGAGCCTTTTTAGGGGCGGGTTTCTTTGTAACCGCCATTCTAGCGACCTGAAACGTAATTATATTATTTGTAACATTATCCGACAGATATCTAAAATAAATATTTCACTATTTAGTATATTTTCAATAAATAACCTACAGAACACGTGTAACAGCTTTCGTGAAACCTGCAAAATGGCCGACTTTGACATATATGAAATACCATAAAGTTGTTAAAGCCAATATAGGCAGGCAAATATCTGTAACCATACAGCCTCGTCTGAGGTTTTTTTACAAAATTGATCACACGTTATGCTGATGCATTAATTTTTTTTTAAATTGCGATGTTTTTTGGGAGATTTTAACGGCAGCTTAACCCAGCGGACGTTTGATGACGATGATACATCAAGATCCCTAAGCGAGTAAAAAAAAGCGATTTATATCATTACCGAAGCAGTAAAGTAATAAACTTTTTTTGTCTAGTTTGGCAACTTCCAATTATGGTACATTTGCCTAGTTCTTTGGTTCCTTTTTACTAAACCTAGAGCTTTTTAATTTAGACATTGAAAAATATAAATAAAATGCAATAAATGTCTTACTAGGCTGGTATGTCCGTATAGCGGACAAAAGTGGGGCAGAGTTTTTATTAACTAACTAGTTTACATTAAGCATTATTTTATGGGATAAGAAATATTTGATATGTTTGATTAAGTATCGAAGTCTTAGGTAGATCACTAACTTTTTTTTTCATTTAACACTTCTATAAAAATATATTATTATATATTATTTATACAACTCTTATTTTTTTAAAGTTAGATATTTATATCCAATGAAATTTTTGTTACTTCAACTACGTAGATTAAAGAGATATATGGAGATTTTGTTGAAATGTAATTGATTAGGTGCTCAGTCATTCGGATATACGTTTCATAAGAATTTGTATCTTTTACTTATTACGTGTAAAGTATTGTGAATACATTTTCCTAAATGACGCCCTACACAAATACGTGCTCTTCTTTTATTACCACACATTTATACACAATTATACACATTTGTTTTCTTTTTTATTTGTAACAAGTGTCTATGAAGGTGTGAAATGTGAATGCGTCAATAAATCTAAGGACGAGCGATAATTTAAAATAAAAAGTTATTGGATTAGAGAAATATAATTATAGGTTTATATAATTTAATTTTTTTTTTTAATTTTTTTTTTTATATTTTGTCTACGTGGTAGAGCCATGCTGCAGCTATATTATGGTTGTAGCACGAATGGGTCGGCTTGACCGGGGAAGGACCACGCTCTCACAGAACACCAGCATAAAATAGCAGCTTAACGCTGCTGTGTTTTATATGGTGAGTGTAGAGAACCGAAGACCCTTTTTACTGAAAAAGAGGCATTCCATCTTAGTCCTCATGGGTAACAACGCATCTGCATCTTGAGTCTTTATTGAGGATAGATGTAGATGTCTATGGGTCACAGTAATCACTTACCATTAGGTGGATTGTGTGCTCGTTTGTCACCCGATCCTATAAAATAAAAAATAAAAAATAAGAATACTAGCTGACCAGGCAGACGTTGTTCTGCCCTTTACGTCGACTATTTGCTTCCTTTTTTTTAATTTTTTTTAGATTAGCAATAAAAAAATTGAGGGTCACTTATCGGGATAAAAACAACCCTATCTTTCAAGTTGGACCAAACTGCACACAGTGTGCAAAATGTCATTGAAATCAGTTCAGTAGTTTAGGAGTTCATCGCGGACAAACAACGTGACACGTAATTTTTATATACAAAGATTGACTTACATACTGAGAATTTCAGAACGATAACTAAAGTTTAAAAAATATATCGTCGTCTATCTTGAGCATGCACCTGTATTCAATTATAAATCTATTGATACAGTTTCACGGTGAATAAATTTTAGGATGGGGAAAAAATTAAAAATTTTAAATGTTTAAATGAACCTAACGAAACTGTAAAAGTTTGTTATAATAGAGAATCTTGGTTCGAGTACGTCCATTGTTTCAAATATGACTAAGTAATTACATAATGATTTCTTATATTTACGCGAACACTACACATTTTAAAATAAAACTAATTTTACGGATTCTATCGCGTATATTAACCTATTTTTATATTCCCGACGTTTCGGGTGCTTTCCAGCACCCGTGGTCACGGGGGACTGAGTTGTTTGACGTCCTGCTGTCATAGTTAGCCCGGCTACCTTCAGTTTTTTAATATTAATTTTTGGTTCGATTTACGCAGAATGAGCTTACAGTATCTTGAAGTCTAGCAGTGGTATACTTGGGTTTGGATTTGATTTTATTAATTATGGGATCCCATGCAGATGGCAGCACCCATCCATCTTCTCTATTGAAATTAGGATGTTTTTTAATTTCAATAGCCTCGCGAATCATCCTTGGGAGGAATCGGTGTTCTTTTGCGAGGATTTGTGGTCTATCAAATCTAATGTAATGACGGGGCCGATCCTGAACATGTTCACAAACTGCAGACTTCCCGATACGTCGGTGCTTCACGTCAGCTATATGTTCTTTAACGCGGGTTTTAATAGATCTTTTTGTTTGTCCTATGTACGAGAGACCACATTCACAATCCAGCTTGTACACTCCTGCATCTTGTAGAGGGATATGACACTTGACGGATGGTAAAAATTGACCAATCTTCTTCAGCGGCTTGAAGTACGTTTTAATGGAAGCTCGCTTCAAGATGTAGCCAACCTTGTCTGTGACTCCTCTGACATAGGGTAGTACAGCAGGCACACGCTCGACTGTGGCTGGCTTCACTCGGTCACTGTGACGTAGGCGCGGGACCCGAAGCTTGTTGTCTTGCAGTACTTGCTCGACGTGCTGAAGCTCGGCGGCCAGATGTTTTCTGTCACAGATCCCTCGTGCTCTCTGAAACAAAGATTTTCCCACGGTAGCTAACTGTGAAGGATGATGGTGAGATTCACCATTTAAATATCGGTTGGTATGGGTATTTTTTCTGTACACAGTATGACCAATAGTGTTATCAGGATTTCGGATGACTAAAACATCTAGAAAAGCTAAAGTATTGTTTGCCTCTAACTCCATTGTGAATTGTATTTTAGGGTTTATGGAATTAAGGTGGTTTAAAAATGCAGTTACTTTGTCAGATGGTAAAATTGTGAAAGTATCGTCTACGTACCGCTTGTAGAATCTTGGATTTACAGGAGCAGTAAGAAGGGCTTTCTCCTCAAAGTCCTCCATGAATATGTCGGCGACTATGGGAGATACAGGTGAGCCCATTGCCACTCCGTCTACTTGCATGTAGAACTCTTCTTTCCACAATAAATAGCCAGATGTGAGGCAGTGTTTGAGTAATACTGCATATTCTGTAGGCATGTTGTTATCTTCTAGCTTTCTAGTAACAATTGAGATGCAGTCTTCAATAGGTAGGCATGTGAATAGTGACTGAACATCAAAACTGACCATAGTTTCATTGTCAGCGAGATGTAGGTCTTTAATCTCACTAACAAATTGGTATGAATCCTTTGTGTGTGCTCTGGTATGTCCTCTTAGTGGTGACAGTATTTTTGCCAAGTGTTGAGCCAACTTATAAGTCGGTGAATCGATCTGGCTTACTATAGGACGTAGTGGAGCGTTTGGTTTGTGTATTTTCGGTAACCCATACAACCTCGGTGGTTTGGCACATGATGGTATTGTCGAATTCACGTCAAGGTCTAATTTTTCGGAGTATTTCTTTATTAAATCAGTGGTTGTTTTGAGTGTATTAGTTGTAGGGTCTATTTTGACCTTTTTGTATGTACTTACGTCCGATAAAAGTTGTTGTATTTTGAAATTATACTCTGACGTGTCCATTATTACCGTAGCATTTCCTTTATCCGCGCGGAGAATCGTGAGCTCGGGTCTGTTGCGTAAGTTGTACAACGCTTTAAATTCGTCTTTCGGAAGATTTAGTTTCGGCGCTGAACTTCGACGTAACAAGGACGAAATGTCTTGACGTATAGCCTCTAAATCCTCTTTACCGATATTATTCTTAAACAGACAATCCTCAACACTACAGATAATTTCCTCGTACGGGATTTTTTGCGGCGTTATAGCAAAATTTAAGCCTTTCGACAATACTTTTATTGTAGATTCATCCAGTATTTCTTTTGACAAATTATAGACCGTGCGTTGTTTAATGTTTGCGTCTGTGGTCAACGGTTGTTGCGTTTCGTTTCTACGTTGACATGGATGTTTGGCATTTGATTTGATAGTTAATTTTTGGTATTTTTCTATTTGTTTGTCTTTGCATTCATTATATTTCGATATTTCGCGTTTGTTTAAAGTTTCAATGCAATTATTAAAATCAAATGTCGTTAAAACTGTCTTTAACTCACTGGACAAATTGTCTATGGTATTATTTATGATTTGTAAATCGAACCGTTTTTGCTGAATCACCGTTCGTAACAACTTTTTACTTGCCTGATTTAAGATCTTAGCGCTTCCTCGAATGTCCTTTTTAGTAGATATTTTGACGCACGTAGGAATGAGCTGATGGTCGCGGCACCTTTTCAGAAAATTCAATGATGTTACATATCTTGCGCGTTTGGTCATGAGATCTTCTAATCGGCGAATTTTATTTGCAATTACCAGTCCGTACTGGTTTACATAATGATTTCTTATATTTACGCGAACACTACACATTTTAAAATAAAACTAATTTTACGGATTCTATCGCGTATATTAACCTATTTTTATATTCCCGACGTTTCGGGTGCTTTCCAGCACCCGTGGTCACGGGGGACTGAGTTGTTTGACGTCCTGCTGTCATAGTTAGCCCGGCTACCTTCAGTTTTTTAATATTAATTTTTGGTTCGATTTACGCAGAATGAGCTTACAGTATCTTGAAGTCTAGCAGTGGTATACTTGGGTTTGGATTTGATTTTATTAATTATGGGATCCCATGCAGATGGCAGCACCCATCCATCTTCTCTATTGAAATTAGGATGTTTTTTAATTTCAATAGCCTCGCGAATCATCCTTGGGAGGAATCGGTGTTCTTTTGCGAGGATTTGTGGTCTATCAAATCTAATGTAATGACGGGGCCGATCCTGAACATGTTCACAAACTGCAGACTTCCCGATACGTCGGTGCTTCACGTCAGCTATATGTTCTTTAACGCGGGTTTTAATAGATCTTTTTGTTTGTCCTAT